AATACAATGGTGGAAGTACTTTTACTGCTCAAGCTGTTGAATTATCAGTGCAAGATTTGCAGAGAGGAAGAAGATCGGATGCTATACAAGTATTATGATTTAATATTTTATAAAAATTTGACAAATTATAATTAAATAATGTTTTTAAACAAAAAATGTTTGATTTTTTTTTTTTTTTTTTAGGTTGTTGTTTTGATGAATGATGGAATGTCACAAGATCCATGGGAGAAGGTACTTGAAGCAAGTAAACTTCTAAAAAGTACTGGTGCAGAGCTATTTGGTGTAGCACTTGGTGAAAGTATTGATTTACGCGAGTTAAAACATTATATTGGTGATATAAATCGAATTTATAGAGATAATTCTACCGAAAGGTTTGGTTATTATTAATTTTTACTGAAAATTTTCTTTTATTTATTGATGCATTTTTTTCTTTTTTTTTTTTTTTGTGAAATTTTTATTTATTAATTTTAGATTTTTAACGGATATAGTTTCATTGCTTACTGGTGGAGAAGAATGTAGTAAAAAGATTGATGCTGTAAATTTGAATAATACAAAAGTGCTAAAGAAAAATTTGAACAGTCAAATTTGCACTACTCCTAATTTGGATATTATTATTCTATTTGATAATGCTATTAAAAAGATCAATCAAAGTGAACAATCGATCTCTTCCAATCGTTATCTTTTATTAGATGTTCTTGGTTAGTCATTTCTTTCTTTACAAAGAAAAAAGAGAAACATAATTTAGTTTTTTTTTTTTTTTAGAGTTTACAAATGAATATTTTGCTCAATTTTATTTTCAGATAAATTCTGATAATTCAATTCAATTTTTGTGATAATATATGCGTGATGATTATTTAGGATCGTTACCAGTGATAAAACATAATGATCCAGTGAAGATCACCGTGATAACATTTAGCAGACAACCGCAACTGGTGGTTAGTATGAGTGATCTGCAGAACAGAGAAAGTATTTTCACAAAAATGGAATCAATTAAACCTAAAATTGGCAAATCATCTTATGCTAAGGCTATTAATTTTGCACTTCAGTGAGTGTTATCATTTTGTATGAATTCAAATGTTTGCAATATGAAATATTAGTGGAAATGACACAATGTACATTAACATAGCAATATTGATTGATTGATTAATCGATTGATGTGTTCAGGGAATACAAGAAAGGACGTAAAGATGCCCGTGGTATGCTTGTTATTGTTGGTGATGGGCATTCAGAAGATAATCCGAAGGAGCGTAGTAATGCTATTAAGCATTTACGTGCTGTATGTTTTACCTATTACTTAATTATTTCGAAAAGTGAAATTGAAGTCAATTAATGTGATCTACATGTGGTCCCGTGGTGTAGTGGTCAGCACTCAGGACTCTGAATCCTGCGACGGGAGTTCAAATCTCCCCGGGACCTTAGTGCTTCATTTGTTTGGAAAGTTACCTTGTTGTTGGAGGGGGAGAGGGGAAGGGGGGAGGAGAGTGATGGTTTCCAGAAAATTTATTGCTAGAAAGGAAATGTAGGCATAGTTATGATAACAGAATCCGGTATTCCGGATATTTCCTCTGTATGTCTTACTTCATAGTAAGTGATGTGTAGTGATTAGGAATGAGATATCAGCTGATTTAGGAAGGTAGGTGACAATATGCAAGTAAACTGATTAGCCACGATTGAAGGGGAAGAAGGTCCCCTCAAGTACTTCTCGGATATTTACATAATTATGCTTGGTGACAGTTGTAAAGATGTGACATGCTATTTCGATATTGAGATTGTAAGTTATGTGATAATTAAGAGTGAGTAGAATTTATTCATAATCGATTAATTGACCTATGCACTCTCTCAAAGATGACCAGGTGACACGATCATCTGAAAGGTGGTGACAAGGTGACACGATGACAGAAGATCTCGCTTTTGCTACATATTCTAAAATTTGAAGGCTGACGTGTTCATGGTCCCGTGGTGTAGTGGTTAGCACTCAGGACTTTGAATCCTGCGACGGGAGTTCGAATCTCCCCGGGACCTGCCGTTTTGTTGTTTTCTCTTTTATATTCCATTCAATTAAATATAATATTGCTTGAATTCATAAACATACCTATGATATTTTTAAATATTTCTTGAAATTAAATTGATAAATCGAAAGCAAAAAAAAAAAAAAGAAAACGCGAAATTTTATTTTAGGCAAAAAATCTTAGCACATATGCAGTAGATAGTGGTAAATTGATGAATGTTGAAATATTATCAAAATATACAAATTCATCAGATAATGTCTTCAATTATGATCGTAATGCTATATTTGCTAAAGTAATATTTGATGCTGTTGAAGCTGCTAATAAAGCTCGATGTGTTCGGGTATTGTTAATTTTTAACATTCTTAAAATAAACAAATCATACAATTTAAAAGAATTGTAATAAATTTTATTAGTAAAAAAAAAAAGAGATACTTGGAAGAGTAAATTTTCCTAAATTCTTCAATTCCTTTTTTTTTTTTTTTTTATTCCTTCTTTAATTATAACACCTATATTAGTAATTATCTAATCGATTTACAATTTAACAAAATTATACATTTAAAAATTTTTTTTTATCTTTTAATTATTTTAGATGTCATCACATGCTAATCAATTTTCTACAATAACTACTACTACAACTACTCGTAGTAGTACTTCTTCTGCACATAAAAATCAAACTTTAGAACGAAAAAAAGATATTGGTAGTAAATTGGAATATAATTTAAAACGATTCGAAGGTGAAAAGGTTGGTTAAATTCATGAAAAAATTTATATATCATTCGTTAAATTTTAATGAAAAGCTTTTGTTTTTTGTTTCGTTCACATTTTCTAATTTAAAATATGAGTTATCAATAATTTGCATAAATTTAGGTTATTATCAAAGAAGAAACTACTGTAGCAAGTATTGAAATTTCACGGCCTACAACTAAACTGAAAAAATCTACAACTAAACGAAATATTACAAAAGAGAAATCTATCGCAGTGTTAAATAAATTAGAGAAAAAGAATGAAACATTATTATTGGATGGAAAAAATTCGAAAGAAAAACAACTAAAAGAAATATCAGAAAATTTACATCGTTCTGCTCAAACAACTTCAAATTTCAATTTCAAGCAACATTCTTTAAGTACCACTTTTAAACCAGATGGTACTACTACTACTACTACTACTATTCCATTACCGGGTTAGTTCTTTCTTTTTATTGAAATATTTTTGATTATTATGAAAAATTATAATTTTAATTCAATTGCTAATCTTTTAATTATAGGTTGCGAGATTGATGTTATTATGCTTATCGATTCATCAGGTTCAGTGGAGAAAACATTTAATCGTGAGAAGGAACTTGCCGCAGAAATAATAAATCGACTTCGAATAGGCGCAAATAACGCACATGTAGCAATTGTTAAATTTGCAGCAAAAGAGAAAGTAAAAACAGTTTGGTCATTTGATAAGCCACAGGAGAAAGAAAAAGTGCTAAAAGCACTTCATGAAATTTCCTTTAGCAGTGGTACAACAGCAATACATACTGCACTTTTACAGGTATTTTTTTTTTTTTCTGTAAAATTATTTTTTTAAATTTAATACTTGAATAGAAATTTAATTTGTATCGAAAACAAAAAAACATATTTCATATTTAATTTCTTTCTGTTAACTTTTATGAATGAAGAATGTATTTCTTGTAGGCAATAACAGAATATTCAACAAAGAAAGGTGCAAGACCAGAACAAGCAATACCACTTCTAATTATATTCACCGATGGTTTTGGACAAAAAGATACTACAGAAGCAGCTAGTTTATTAAGAAATTTAATTCCAAATATATTTGCTATTGCAATTGGTAGCCAGGTAGAGTAATAATCTTTTATTATGTATATGAAATAATGAGAGTTTCTTTTGACAAATTGGAAAAATATGAAATTAATGACTCTTTAATAGAATGAATAGAATGAATTCTTTAGCCGAGTCAAATCTATTTTTTAATTAATAATACTAGCAATATGTGAAAAAGTGAGCAAACAGATATTTCATTTTTAGCATCCGGTGAACGAAGAAGAATTAATAAAAATTGCTGGTTCAAAAGATCGAGTGTTTATGGATAATGATACCAGAAAATTGTTTGAAATGCTAGAAAGGATCCTTAGGACATGTTGACCTATTGGTTTATTTATTCTTTTCCAATTATTTATGGCTGTGGAAATGAATGCATCGCAGTACTGCCATAATGGAAAGTTACACAGTGATAATAACCTAATGTGCAATAAAAGTTTCTAAGATTTAAGTGCCATTACATATTTGGCTTAGCATCATTAATGATGACAATACTCGAACTCTAGAATTCTCTAAAATTGTTATCCAAGTTACATTTATTATGAGTAATCATACATAAATTGTACATTAACCAATACCCCTGTGTGTTGCATTCTTTGAAGAATGAATTCGAGGTTTGCAAGCTAATTAATAAGGGATTTCATTTTTTCAGTTCGAACAATAAAACCAATATACTTTATTCAAAAAAAAAAAAAAACTTGTTTTTGATAAAATGGATAAAAACTGGAATAGGCCTACTATTTTACAAGGAATTATGATCTACCCAATATACATTAATGCAAATTGTCCCACTGATCATCTTTATTAAAATATGGATGAGAAATAGGACAAAATTTAAAGTGAGAAATATATAAAAATTGAGTGTAAAGAATATAAAATGGAAGTAAAAAAGAAATACAAATGTAAAAACAAGGAGATGGCCATAAAATCAAAGCTTGCACCAACAGAAAAATTGATTACATAACACAGCGTTCTTCAATGAACTTCACCAATAGATGCTAATTAGGCCCTAGGAATGTGAAAGACTCAAAGTATACTTCGGATTTATCTCTACGCACTGATTTTTTTTTTAAATGCTTTTTTAAATGAATTTATTAAAATGAAGTCAACGAAACCACAGATTACATCACTCCTTATATTAACCTTTCTTTAACAGAACACATTATCGTTAACCTGTAGCCTGCTGAGCACGTCGCGTATATACATAATCAGCTTTACCTTGCACGCACTCTCTATTTATGTGAACACTTTCGATATCGCTTCCTGGTACCGTAAACTTCGCCTCGAGTAATACCTGTGCATTGATCATTGTAAGAAAACATTTCCATATGAATTTATAATAAGCATGATTGTGATGCAAATGATTAACAAACCTTTTCCACGATGGAACGTAATGCACGTGCACCAGTTTTACGCTCTAATGCAAGCGCAGCAATTTCATCAAGTGCATCAGAGGAAAACGAAAGATCTGCACCATCCATAGCAAATTCAAGTTTTTTCTGTGCAAGAAGTGAATTCGTTGGCTCAGTTAATACTCTGACTAGCATACCCTGTAATTATTAGTTTAGCAATTAATGTCATTTCCAGATAAAGCGTACATTTCAACATGTACTAGATGCTATCGATTAAGTTGATATTTTTTATCAAACTAAATCATAATTAGAAAAAGAAGCTAATACAGACCTTATCCAAACTGTGAAAAGGAACAATAACCGGAAAACGTCCAACAAGTTCCGGTACAATGCCAAAACTTATAAGGTCTCCTTGATCCGCTTGTCGCAAAAGATCGTCTCGCTTCTTCGAAATTGCTGCTTCTAGCTTATCATCATCGGTTATTCGCTGCATTCCTGATTTTGCACCTGAAACGCTAGAATGAGAAATAATTTGTAATACCGAAAAAAAAAAAATCTCAGAATTTCGTACAATGAATAAAGTTGACGCTAATAAATTTCACCAAGTCTAATCACTAATGAACAATATCTGAGTTACTTAATAAAAACAACCTAAGCCAAGTGTTTTCTTATCAAGTCGTTTGCCGACTATACGATCCAAAGCGGTGAATGCGCCCGATGCGACAAACAGGATATCTGTTGTGTCAACCTGAACGAAGTCTTGCTGCGTGCTCATTGACTTACGACTACTCTTTACGTTCACCAATGTTCCTGAAGTGAACAGAGAAACAATAGAGCTCTTCCTAGCATGCTTAAAAGTAGACGATAACAGGTGAACAGCATAACAAAGGTTCGGAAAAAAACTACCTACTATTTTTTTCAGGGTAGCGCACCAACAGTAAATTACAAATCCAAGAATTACTTGAACTTTCTAAACGATTAAGTCACGCAATGAAATAACTCACATATTGATACAATGTGAGACATAAACTCTTACCTTCTACTAATTTGAGCAATGCATGTTGTACGCCTTCACCGCTAACATCTCTGAATGCATGAGACTGTACATTATGTGCTGCAGCTATTTTATCTATCTCGTCCAAGAAAACAATCCCTTGCTGTGCACGTTCCACGTTACCACCCGCATTCTGCACGAGTTTTTGCACAACGCTTTCCACATCTTCGCCAACATAACTATAAGCATGTATCTATAGTTAAGCATATATTTTCATTGTTGTGGCTCTCATATTTTGATTCGGTAATTTGATTCAGACATTTGATATAGAGCTGACCGTTACTTTAATAGTAGAATATGCTTTTTTTGGTTTTAGTTAAAATTATCGGGAAGCACTTTTATATCTACAGTTTGCCTTTATAATGAATTAGCTCGAACAAATGTAAATTGTCATTCCTATCCAAAGAAACAATTATGATGTTCTACATAGTTTAAATATAATGAAAAGTAAGAAAATGTTACCCGGCCTGAGTCATGGATGTGCAATCACATAGCGCAATGGGTACATCCAAAATACGGGCTAATGTCTGAGTGATAAAGGTTTTGCCGACACCAGACGGACCAAGTAACAGAATGTTAGACTTTTCTAGTCGGATAGGAACATCGTTTTCAGGAAGTGGACGAAATACTGGTGAACCAATTCGGTGTTTTTGTTGAGGAGCCGTTACTTCCGAGAAAAAACGAATGTCGGCGCGACTAGTTCTACTATAATCTTCCTGATACAATACACCAGATGAAGATGCTCCTGTGCGCGGCCGATTCCCTTCCGCATTATTCATGGCTGGTGAACTAACGTTATTCTCGATATTATGATACAGACGTAAGTAATGTTGATAAACTCCAACTGAAAGCGTTTTCTTAGCTTGTTCTTGACCGATGATATATTTATTCAGGAAACCATAAATCTGAAAAATTATTTATTATTGCTAGTTCCATAGAATTCTGACTGCTTCAAATTATGCATATTGAAAATCTGGTGAAATCAATTACGAGCATTAAAAACGCAACCTCTTTTGGATACGGCGGTTTCTTGTCTGCTTCACTTGCTTTTAAAATACTTCCTTTTTCATCATCCTCATCTGGCGGGCCGCAGCTAAATAACCGCCGACAGTTTTCACAAATCAGATAACGCGAGCTGGCTGAAAAAGACACAAGAAATATTTGATGGATTTTGAACTACTAAGTTACTTGTAGTTGACAATAACTAAACCAGCAATTGTAACTTTTAATACAACAGCACTAATAAATGCATAGCAGTAAGAATAGAAATCTTAATCACAGCATTATTCAGGATTATTATGGATATTCACATAGAATATTTAATCCTTTTTTAATAAATATTATTACTCACGCGTCGATGATGGAATGTTTTTGAGTGGTTTGCCACACTCGTCACAACGACTGTTACAGGATGAAGTACGCCAGATATTCCACCTTGTTGTAACATGTTTGCCAGTCAACGGAACGGATGCGTGCAACGGAATACGTTGACGAAATAGAATGTGTTCGCTGCTGGTGTTGTTATTTTCCCAATCATCTGTACCTGAACCCGAATCATTACTACTTCCACCGCTCTTTGTTATGTGTCGTACTGTTCTAACTATTAAAAATGATTGACATTGCCGGCGAGCTATGACCACAGCCGACGATGGACAAACCATGCTGAAACATATGAACGCTTATTTAAGATAAAAAAAGGAACAATTTTTGAATCGATGAACTTTTTGAGTTACCATTAGCATACTAGCATTATCAATAATATCTTTCACCTAAACATGACCATTTTACATATTTACTCGATCATTAGCTGAAATGTACATAAGGTTTCGGTCCTGTATTCGAAGACTTCTGTAAGAATAAATCAGAAATGCCTTGAAGACCCTCAGCCTTACTTCGAAATGAAATATATTATTTGAAGATTTGATAAAGGACAATATAGTGTTTCTAATTTAATAATATCTTTCGTCAAGTCTTATAAAAATCCATCACTAAACAAATGAAATGAAACATCTCTTATACCAAGCCAAACAGTACACTACACAAATAACAGAAGAAATCAATTCTTTCAATGACACGTCGAGACAATAAGACCGTTCAACTTTTCATGACAATTCCTTCTTTTGTCATCAGATATACTCTAAAAATACTGTTCCATCAATTCCTGAAGCTTTTTGAGGCGGAAAATAACACAACAGAACCGTAACATTCCGCCATACGATTACTCCCTCAGTTCGAGAACTCATTTCGATGACAACTTATCATTCTCGCTCACTGTCGTCCTCTCAATCTTGCACAATACTATTCCATCCATCTGTCTCTCTACTTGCTCCCTGTTTACTGTGCACTATTACCTCATGTCACCCACTCTGTCACCTGTCACAATTACACATTGTCCTCTGATAGCTCTCGAATAAGCATTATTAATGGAGCAGAATTATCACTCATAGTGGATGATGAATGATGGGATGGCTAATTCGCTTAAAGTTTAAATTAGAAGAATAGATTTTTAATATATTACAAAGATTTTGAATGTTTTAAGAAAGATTCAGATAATTTATGGCAGAGAGTAATCACCCACTTTACTGATAAGAGTAACTGTTAACATTCATTAGTGTTAATAAAACATTCATGTATTAATTTAGGATTTTTTTTTGTTGTCTTAATTAGAATGCTTTTTTCTGAGAATAATATTCAGTTTATCATCTAGGAAGTAACTTACTTTAGAAAATATAAAAACTTCCATAACATTTTAAAGATAACAGGATAGTGTGAATTCACTTCATGGCAAACTGTTGTCTTAATTACAGCAATTTGTTGGCTAAATTCTGTAAAAGATACTTTTACATAAATTAGTGCAATAAAAGCATTTCTTATAACAAATTGATAATGCTTGTAAGTAAGTCAGTTATCATTTGCTTTTTGCTATCTATAAATTCTTATTTCTTAATTACTCTTAAAATTATTTCTTAATTATTAGGTTAATTATTCTTAAATAATCTTAATTAATGTGTTGTTAATGGAGACAGAAGATTTCAGGATAGTTTTGACAGTTACAAAAATTTGAAGTAGTCTATTCATATTTACACTGATTGATTTCTAACTCTTATCATTTTTGAGAATGAAACAAATTGATAAAATGAAAAATCTTCTCAATGTTACTGATTCTTTTCTCTCGACGAATTGTTCATCTTTGTTTGATTGTTTATAATTTCTGATTTATTATGGATTTCAATTTTTTTCGTTTGTTTTCTATCATATCTTATTGCCTAGTTACTTACTTTGTTTGCTGCGATATTTTCGCAACTTTTTCAGTAATTGTTATTTCATCAAGAATAAAATGAAAATATCTTTTGCTAAGGAAATATTAGTATTGTATAGGTTGGCTATTGCAAATTGTCGATGAAACTTCATTTACAGGAAACAGTGCAATTCCAGTAAAAGTATTTTTGAGTTAACTTTGACTCAATAACTTCCTGCTTTGGACAGTTTCAAATTCAATTCTTCAAGAATTTTTCTACTATCGGATTATCCATCTTTGACTATTAAATGCAACAAGTAAAAATACTGTGCTTTTTTTATTTACTTTTTTATTACTTTTTTGGTTTGAAATTTTACCATTTTTAATTCTTTCTTCCTTTTAGTTTGCATTTTGTCTTACTTCCAGATAATCATTTCTGCATATAGTCTCTAAGTTATATTGCATCTAGTACACTTCGTATTTGTTTATTGTAATTCCATATTACGTTTCATACGCAAAATTGTTAAAAAAAAAAAAAAAAAAAACTTTGAACTCAATTTAAGATAAAAGTTTTCTATTCATTTGCAGCTAATGGTTTAGGAATAAAGATTATCGCCACATCACTCAAATAAAAAGGATTAAAAAGGCTGAGAATACGACCGGAAAGATTAAAACGAAAAATGTTTCAGCAGTGATTAAAGTACGAAAAACAGTAAAAACTCTTTCAATAACCGGTAAGTCTTTTCTACTCTTTTAAATTTATGCTAATAGTTGATCGATGAATCGGAATGTTTGTATCCAGTGTTAATATTATTAACAGAGAGGCTTTCCTGATGTTATAAAGAAAAACATGTGTGGAAAATTTCTTCCTATTTTGTCAAATCCAATTTACACACATATTACAGTCTTAGTAAAAATCCATCGTGTTGTAAAATACATTTGACTGGAGTAGTTTATGGAGTCAAATAAAGGAATAATTTGCAGAGAAAGCTATGATAGAGATTGATCTTTATTTTATTAAGATAAAAAGTATCGTTGGATGAAGTTATTGAACAGTATTAGAGAAACTGAGAAAGTAAATCTGGAGAAGACTATGATAACCAACCAATTTACCTATCTCTTTTAAATTTACCATATAAATATTTAACAACAAAAATTTTATTTCCACAAGGGAATAAATAACTTAGAATAAAAATAAAACATTTATAAGAAATATCACAGTTAACTTAGAATAAAAATAAAACATTTATAAGAAATATCATAGTTCATGTCATAAAACGATATTTTACGAAAAATAGATCATCCATTTCATCATCTTACTGCAAATCTTTTCGACTTTACAGCATTACATTTTATTTGTTTCGGATCAGTTTAACTAGTGATTTGAATCAAAAACTGGATTCCATGACTTTTTAATTGATGATAGAGTCCGTCATGGTGTATAAACGGAAGTATACGATTTACAGTCACAAAGAAAGCAAACTCAGTATTCTTTGGATGTTCATATGTCGAAAAACATTCAACAGTGCACTATTTTTTCTTCTTTTTTGCCTAAGGGAAAACTGTGATTGGTAACAACCACTAAAGCAATATAAATTTAACAAACATTTATCTTTAATTTCAAAAGTGCGATAAATGCTTACCAACAAAAGTGCTTTTAGAAAAACTCAAAAATATTACTTTCTATTGCATACATGACACGAATAATGAATATAAAGGAGTCCATTAGCCAGTAATACCTTGCAAATACGATGGCATCTTAATTTTCATGAATAACCGCGTAGCTAAGAAACCAATGAGAACACAAGCGAAACCCAGTCCCAACATCATTATCCGATCTAACTTTGGCGTCAGTGGATTATTGCATTTATCCAATATGATAAAACCAAGTCCTGAAAGAACTAGTGATAACGGATGAGAAAACGAATATTTTGAAATGTTTGAAATACAGTTGACAAAATCCTTCACTACTTTTACATGCTAAAATACAATTTGTTTCCAAGTTCTTAAAAATTCTTAAAATAGGCGAAGGTCATATCGTGTCAAAACTCAGTAAACAAAAAAAAAAAGTACCGCCTAAAGAAAACATGAAGCTTGCGGCCAAACCCTCCATAATATATTGTCCATTAACTCGATATTGCATTATAGCAACTGGTTTCGCATTACCTCTCTCATCAGTTGTTTGTCCTGCAGTGATAATAATTAAGAAGGGAGGATTACTAGAGGAATAAAATTAAGTGATCACAGAGTTATACAGTTACCGATGCTTGGAGGTTCATTGATAATATCATAGATGACACCTCCAGTGACGAAGAAATAGGTTATCATAACTAATGCGAACACTTGCATCGGTGAAGGCATCTAAAAAAATGTAACAGATGTATCTGAAATATTTCAAAACATTTGAGAATAGACTTATAATGCCATAAGACTAACTTATACCAATTTATTGTGAGGTGACAAAAGCAAAAGTAACATAACAGAAAAGATTCTAATAAAAAAGTATAGAATAAACCTTGAGCCATCGTGGAGGTGATATTTTAACATTCGGAGGATCAATGAATGTGAAGAGAAGAGTCTCTAGAACCGATTCCATAGCTCTCTGAACAATCTATAATTCATTAGAATACACAAATCACGCACTGCTTCCTAATCATTGTAAATTTAATTTTCCAACTATAAATATTTCGTCGATTCAACAAATACATATGGTTATATCATATGTCTTTGGACATACATACTATTATTCACTTTTGCTTATATTTTTGAAAATAAATGAAACTGTATACCACATAATTAGTTATTTACTAAAACATCCTATTTCAATTGTCTATATTGTAAAGTTAGTACTATTACGAATGCAATTTTCCATCACTTTTTACAAATACCAATGACGAAGAAATTAAATAAACCATTTAATCATATCTGTAGCAAAAAAAAAAAAAAAAATCTTACTTTTTTTCAGTAACTACTATTTGATTCAAACGGAAGAAATGTTTGTCTATTAATCATTACAAAAGAAAATATAAAATAGAATTGCTAATATGCATAACCAATAAGTAACTAATAATTTATATAACAAGAATGATTATTTAAGATGAAGATGAATATGATAGTAGCATTTACTAGCAATAAACTTCTTTTTTTTTTCCTAAACATCTTCATATTTTTGTTTATGCATATAAAATATGCTTCTGAAAAGCATTAAAAATTACAAAACTACGAGAAAAACATGTAATGTTTATAAATATTATTCAATAAAACAAATTTATTTCATAGCATATTTCAAATTAAGCATGCAATGATAAAATATATAAAAAATTTCTAGGGAATTACAAATTTCTGAATATTATTTGAATCTCCTTGAACAAAGGTACAAACAAATTCACAAATGTAAGAAATGTAGCAAAGAAAGAAATTGTAAGAAGCATGCAAATACATTTTAATACAAAAGTTTAACATATATCAAGAGAAAACAACATAACTACTCTACAATATATCATATTATTGTTCATATTTGTGTTTCATTTATGCACAAAAAGTAGGATATTATGATAAAAAAACATTAAACTATTATTACTAATGATTGAATTCAATCCAATTTAGGAGTAAGTATCATTAATCATCAATTGTTCACAGACAACCATCAATGCAATCATTATATGATGAGTTCTTATTCAAAAAGAAAAAAATTGTCCTAATTGATTCAAATGATATTTTTTTTATGAAATTAATGCTAAGTTAATTCTCCAAAGTCATGAAATTATCTACAGTTTAAGTTAATAGCTAAAAGTATAAAGACATTTTTTCATTCTCAGAAGAAAAATATTTCAAGAATGCAGCAACTATCTTTCCAAGTTGTATATGGATACGTAAATAAAATTCACTTACGAATTTTTGAGATTAAACATACGGAGGTAGCTACAAAGACATTAAAAGCAAGATAACACAGATACACTAAACATGTTTCCTTTTACAAAAATCAAAGCTGCGAATTGAACCCTACTAAGTTTTTTTTAATTTAATGAAGCGAAGATTTTTGATTTAGGGAGAAATGAAGAGAAGGATCTGGTCTTAGCCTTTCCGTAACATTCCCATCTGCAGTAGCAAAATAAGCCTTCTCAGCAACACCTATAAAAAGACCCGTTTCGACAACACCCGGTAATGATTTCAGACGTGTATGCAAAGCTGATAAATCTTCCGTTGTCACATATTTATTTTTCGGAAAATTCCAATCCAAAATAAAATTGTTGTTGTCTGTAATAAATGGATCCAACTTTTCTTTACTGTTCGTCCTCAACTCAACCTCACCACCTTCCTGACGTTTTATCCAATTTAAAACTGGCGCATATCTGTAAAACGAAACATCAATGTTACTGATTTCTGACACAGTGAAATATAATAATACCTATTACAATATGTATTACGATGACTTAGTAGCGTAACAGATATTTCTAAAAACAACAAACAAGCCAAAAAGACATCTTTTGCCTACCACATCTTTGTCTAAACCATTTTCAGTTGAATCAGTAAACGGAATAATATGCTAACTTGTTATCACCAGTTTCATAAATGATGTATCCAGGCAAATTGTACTAAATCATAAGAAATAATGATGAAAAATAAACGGACAGACGTGGATAAATGTACTGTAATAGTGAAGAGCTTACCCAAATGGAACAACTTCGATTGGAATGGGAAAATTCCTATCGCCCAGTTTTTCTGATTGCTTACTGGCATCAGCAATGATATAAAACTTTTTGGCACATGTCTGCACGATTTTTTCTTGAGTTAAGCAACCACCACCACCTGAACATTCGTATATTACTTCTGCATGATAACTCTTCTAAATTTATACATATAATGCAGTTTACGTTAGAATAGTATTGCAAACAGCATGCAATAGAACAGCCGTAGTATTGTGTAGAGAACGAAATGACTTACTACCTTTTATACAATTCAGGTTGATGTCTACTTCGTCAGCTCCATCAATACATAAATCTAAATCGAGAATCTTCTCCAAATCAATAACTTGTAAACCATAATCGATTAACCACTGGCGAGTTGAGAATGAAGAAGGTACGCAGATAATATCCTTCACCGTACCATCATTAACTTTTTCAGCCAAAAATTCAACTAAAAATTTAGCCGTGGTACCACTGCCAACACCAATTCGACAACCACTTTTTACATGCTGTTCACCAGCTGCAAACGCTGCTGCTCGTTTGGCCAAATCCAGAGTTGAATGCGTTTTCATTGCATCCTGTAACTTCAATTATTTCAATATTATGCTCAAACTTTTCTGATTAGTATCATTGAAATAAATTGAAGAGAAAGTTTTGCATTGAATAGATTCCATTTATCGAAAGGGAAAAGAATATCATATTTTGGATTGGACGAAAAATTCTGCAATACTAAGCATATACTAAAAATTTTCATTTTAATTTTGTCTCGTAGAGACACCACCATTTCATCTAACAATAACTCTTTTTTTGAGCAATTCATTCTGTTCCACTTTCATTTTTGGGAGCAAACAAATTGAAAATACCGGATTTGCATTGTCTATAGCTACCGAAATTTTCGGTTATATCATTAAAGGATGGAACGACAATTTTAACATAGTGATGGCCATTACTGATGTATCATTGAACAATATTCTTCTAAGTTGTAAAGTAAGAAAACTCGATTCCCTGTTCATTTTTTGATAAATATCATCACCATCATGATCGAAATTTTGCAATCATTCGGCACAGCGAACTAAGGATGCATAATAATACTCAACAAAAAATATTTGACGATTTCTTATGTCAATATTTTTTTTCTCTTTTTTTTTTTTTTTTGTTTTCAAAACATTCCTATAAGCATTTGCTTGAAGAGGAGCAAACAAAAAATGAAATTAAAGAACAAACCGTGTTAGAAAAAGATGCCATCACAGGTTTGTGGAAAAATAAGTAGTAATGAATGAAAATAATTTAGAGTAGAGAGGGAAGCGCAAATGCTGCGAGCATCAGCACATAGTTCAAAAAGCAAAGGAGCTGCAGCACCCAGCATTGCTAGCAGTTGACAATTAGACGTGATAGATGACAAGCAAAGATCCCACACGCAGTGAAGAGTATAAAAATGACATTTTTCATACTTATCTTTGGCATTCCTTAACAAATTTAGTCAAAGTTTTAATTCATTACTTTCAATAATTATTAAACCGAATTTCTACTACATTTTAATTGAATCTAACATTGTAATGCCTAAAAGTTTGAGAATAGTGCCTTAAAAATTGTCATTTCAATGCTTCTTCAATAAAGCATCCCGAATCTTTCAATCTAATGTTAAAGATTATCCATTTTCTCACTCTGATTAACTCCTATTCCAATATAAGTAATTAATTTTTGTACTTAATTGTATTTGGTCATTACTTACATAAATTACACTAACTCTAAAGAGAATGAGATGAAAGATATATGTTTATATAAATGCATACAGATATTTTCTGTTAAAGAAATAAGAAAGAGAGCAAACTGCTGCCGGAATATAATGTCAAAAATGCAATACAGCCGTGGTTATATTATCAGAAGGTTGTGCAATTTTACAGATAATTAGATTGTTATCAATACAGATATATATTACTAACCTACTAACGCTTGCCGATAATTTATTGCATATGTTTTCCTGCTTAGGGAAATACGACAACCAAGCAACCCATCGCATGCTTTTGAGCTATTTCGAACCATTCACAATAGTTTCCAGAAGCAATGACTGTCTCACCATCATTCTCAAGTTACTATAATTATTAATTAGATGAGCATTTCACAATGGATGGTTGTAAAAAGGATGTGAACTGATGTTTTTTTTAAGAAAAAAATATTCTTGTTTCAGTTTATTTTGCATTAGATGCATTCTGAAACATCCAATAACAAATGTAAGAAAAATTGTTTCCCAACTGCACTGAGAATGCATGTATACAAATGAACGAACATTCTATGTTACTCTTCTATCTAACATTTGTTTCCGGTAAAAAATCATAAAATTTAACAATCAGAGAATTGACCAAAAAAAACCCCTCCAAACTCGAAATTAGATCGCATGAGCATTGGTTTGGCAATTTGTTTACTGTCAAGCACATTTTCTCTTTAGCTCTTTCTGTCTCTGACCCTCTCTCTCTTTCTTCCTTTCTCTCTCCCTCTCTCTATATATACATTCTTGTTGCACAATTGATTATAATTATTGTAAATATCAGTACATAAACAAAGTACAGAAATGTGCTAAAAACATATGCAGCACTGCTAACATTTGCAGTGTCGAAGTGAATAATGAACCTAATGTAGTTAATTGAAGAAAAAAACAAACAAATGAAAGCCTAGTAAAAAAAATAAATAAATAAAAGCCTAATACAAGTTTACGATTTCAGAATGCCTATAATACCCTTTTCTTCAAATATATCAGCATCAATTATCATGCAAAGCAATAAATGAGCTATACAGTTGCAGAGCATATTATTGTACAATAATCTACAAAAGGAACAAATGATAAGTTTTTCAAATTCTCTGTAATATGATACTACTACTAATAATCGTATAGATTATTAAATGTTTCGTTCAGTAACTAGTGTCTGATCACTGTGACATACTTGACCAGTTCGACGTCGTGGTGCTCCAGGACAAGATACAGATGTTAAACATTCTGGAGTGTTTATTCCAGGCATTCCTTCTAATGCATCCATTGCTTGAGCTGCACTTGCATCACCATCAACCGCTAACCTGAAATGAATTGTTAATAAAATACAGTAGTAACTATTACCTACGCTTTAAAATATCGCATCATCATATAAAATGCAAGCATTTATCTATTTAGTTTAGTACTATTTCTATACTAAAAAATATACAAGATGATTCCATAATGGTTTCTGATGAAATACAAAATGATCAAATACACGTACAAGTATATCATATACAGCAATACGTGAAAGTAATATAAACAAAAAATTTTTTGTGCAGAGAAATCTGCATATGCATTGGGAAAAACGTACATACGAAAAGAATGAAAAATGGAATCCATTTATCAAAGTCTTATATATAAAATTATAATCTAACAGAAAAACAAAAATACTTCAATATGACAAAGGAAAGAATGAAAATGACGAGATGTAATTATAAAAACTATACAACATGTAACAACATAGCTTTCCAACCTGTATTGGTGGCATGCATCAACTGGACGATTCGTTTTGGTCAGGAAATCACCAAGTAAACGATGAAGTCGGCTATTCACTGTCGTCTGAAATCGGAATGAATAATTTAATGAATTATGACGAACATCTTTTCGAGATTTCAGCAAATATAAACAGAACAGCAAAAGAATAATCTCTTCATTAATGAGTAAATAAGTAGTTGTATGCATATTTCACTCCTAACGATACAGTCAACCAGAAAAAAAAAAGACATTTAATAACAGCATTTTACCTCAGTTTGCTTCTTCAGTAATGCAATTGCTTTCTCATAACTTTGTGTTTTGTCGTAAAGGGCCACAAGGAGAAATACAGCATCTAATAAATGAGGAGATATCGCTATTGCCTAAAAATTGAATCTTTCATAGTTATACTGATCGATTACGCTATACGCAGAATTTTATAAGATACTAGTAAAGATACAAAAAAAGTTTATATGCGAAGATTCCTGCATAACCTTTCTATCATTTGGTCGAAAGCTTATTTATCTTCGATAATCTTTCCAATTTCATGGAAATAAATGAGGACTTCAGGTATTATACTCCTATAGTAGAACTTATAAATTCTGGGTTCAAAATGAGTAACAAATACAATATCGTAATGACAGCTACTAATTTATTACTCAGGCACGTTCCTGTATACATACTAGAGTAAATGTAAAGATTGTAAAAAAAGTTTTAAAAAAACCATAGCATTTGAATCAAATAATCCCAACCTTTTCCAGAAGTTTCTGCGCATCCTTCACTGTGGATTCATCCTTAGCAGCTAAAGTAGCACAAAGATATAATGCCCGAGCATTATCTTGACCAAGAATGTGTCGACATGTACAAGCAACAATTCGAGCCTAAATCATTCAAAATTGCCATATTTTCTCTTTTGAATTTGGGAATGACGACGTAGTGACCAATGATCAAAAAGTTTATGCATAATGGTTTCTTTCAAAAAAAAAGAAAACTTAAAATTTAAAAACTGCAAATAAAAAAAAAAAAAAGAGAAGATTCACGTCCAAACTACCAAACCAATGTTTCGACTCGCCATACTTCTAAATAAATTGCTCATTCAAGAATAAATGCTTCGAAAAACTATATAATCAAAGAAAATGAATGGTATTTCGAATTAAACAAATAATTAATCAAAATAAGAACCTCTTGAGTTTTTTCCTGAAGAAGAAATGCATGAACGAGCGCTTCATAGAGAGTATAGTTAGCAGGATGGATAACGAGAGCATCACGCAATTCTGCTATAGCTTCGTCGAATTTCTTCTTATCGATTAAAATAAGAGATTTCAATAAAATTGCCATTGGATGTACATGCCAATCCGCCAATTTACAAGCCTGAATTGTTTGAAATATAGATCAAGTTCACTACAGAACAGAGATAGTACCTTTTTATATTACTATCCAAAAGTAAAACTGTACCTTCTCTGTGAAATACAGTGCTTTGTCGTATCTTTTTTGGCACTTAGCAAGAAAAGCATATGCCACCCAAGCTTCAGGAGTTTCTTGTGCGTCCATCAAAGTAGCTGCAAGATTTTCCAAATCTTTATAGTTTTGCTCCTGAAATTTTTTTTTGTCTACTACGACATTTTACCTAGATAATATATATATATATATATATATATTTGACTCCATCTGCTGTGCTTTCAATTCATATATGTAAAATACTTTAAGAAAAGAAAGTTTGACGCAAAAATTTAATATGATAATAAACGTAATGGATATTACACTACTTTGTTTGTCTCATTGTCTGCACGATAATGGATTCATTAACTTGAGCTTGAATATAAATTATATGATTTTGTAGATGGAATCAGGAGACGTTTGATAGAATCAAACCTGTGCCAAAATAAATGCCAAAATGTCCATTGAGTAAGAGGTATTAGGATCTAAATGATGTGCTCGTCGTAGATATACAGCTGCCTTCTGATTTTCTCCCACAGTATAGTGTAACCGTCCTAATTCAATCAATATCCTGAAATTGAATAATTTACTGTTGCTAATCCATATTTTGAATCTTTATTTCAAGAAAAAAATAATGATCAATTACAGAATCTTTTTATGAAGAATTTTCACGTATTTGGAAATGATCAAATATTGTCACAAGGATCAAATATTATCACACCGCCCTTCGAGCAACAAATAAAAAGAAAAAACTCATAGAGAGTGCTTATATCACACTGCGTAAGAATTAAGATTTGCATCAATGAAGGAAATAAATTCACTTTAAATTTCCAGGAGGTACAGCAGAGAGATGAGAAATTGCATCATAATGCTTCTGTTCAGCAACAGCTTCTTGTGCCTTAAGCCAAGCCTGAACCGTACGGTTACGATGAGATGTGCAAACTCCTTCCTTCAGTCCATATCGTACGATGCATGATAAGGAATCGATAGCTTCTGGACATAATTCAACTACTTTTCTGCAAATTTATTTTAGTATATTTTTGCTGTTCCATTTCTAATAATTGCTAAACAATTCGAAATTTATTGAGATTTCATTCTTTTTGTGACACTTCGCGCAACGACAAATCGAAAATGCTCACTTATGGTACAACATTGCATTTCCCACCGTCTTGACCTTATCACGATTAGTATAATCATTCGAAGGTACGTGATGTAGACGGGCCAATGCTGATATAACCTAAAACCAGACAGAATATAGATAGTACTTTCACATTTTATTGTTCACAACTCATCCATTAACCTAACACAACAGAAATCACATTTTTTATTAAATAATATAACTACATTTCAGTTAACTCATTTTTTCCGCATCTAATAACTAATAAAAAGTTTCGTAAAAATTTTTTTTGGAAAATTTTTTTTTTTGAATATTTTGGAAAGGTTCCTTCTTATATTTTTATGACATTTCATTTCTCAACATTCAGTAATAAATAAACAGCAACGCAAATACAAATACTCATATCACTGAATACTCGAAAATTTTTCTGGGAAAAGATGAAAAACAAACTTTTGGAGTCATTTCCTCCTCGGCAATGCTACCCAAGACGCCCATTGCTTCCTCTCTTTTACGCTGTTTTAGCAAACAGCGATGAAGTCGGTACTTTAATTCAGCTTCAGAAAATTTCTGAAAAGCAGTTCAATCCAGATAAATGTTGCAAATTGGATTCCAAAATCTATCCCAATAATTTCAAAATAGTTTATTCTTTTCCAAGTAAGTCACTAAACATACCAAATCTTTGTTCACTGGTTTTGACAATGCCTTTGTCAACGTAATTGCACGGTAAAAAGTCTGAAATCAGAATTGTTCATCATCCTTCTTTATTTTAGAAGATCATAGAATTAAATGAAGCGAACATACCTCTTGGCTTTTGATAAAACTATCATGCTGATAATAGGATTCGGCTACCATTGAGACCACAGTTGCAGCTTGAATGTTACTTAAAGCTTGCTCAGCATATGATAGTTCATAGAGCGTGATGACATCATCATAAAGTTCGAGACCAAATAGCTTACTAATATCCTCATAGAAGGAATGCATTGTTTAATCTTAGCTGAAACGACCAACACCCACACAATCTGCAATCAAATATGAATTCAAAAAAAATGTAAAGCGTCGAACATTTTTTAACCTTTCCAACAAAGAAAGCACTCCCACCTACACACATTAAATTGTAATATACCAACGGTAAAAATAATACGAAGCCAAAACTTGCTAGCTTATAAGCAAACTCGTAAGCATAATCACTCCAAAATGTGGAACTGAGTAATGATTATATGCAATAACAGTTCCTTCTGAGTATTAAAACGAAGGGACATGCAAACGTCGATGTCACACTTATAGTTATCAAAATTGATGGATCCGTCCTATGTCGTTGTATTGTCCTCAGTCTCTCCTCACATTTCAAATATGATAACTTTTAGTTCAAATAATACCCCAGCTCACGATTCACTAAGCCTGAATGTAATTTATGAAAAGTAATGAAAAATATTGGTATCTCTTGCAATCATACCTACTCATTCTACTCTAGCAAAAGCAGTGGTCATAACCATTAGGTACTAATTACTCAGAATAGATAATCAAACAAATTTTTATTCCATCAATTGATAAATATGAAAATATCTACAACAAAATATGGTGAGCAAGAGATCCAGGAATAACAGATATGCATATTTCAGTTAGCAAATCTAGAAATTTCAAGCGGTGAGATATGAGAAAAAGTACGATTAAGATTTTAATTTAGTAATATATCAGAAAGTAATATATCAAAAAAGGAACAAGCGAAGAGTCACATAAGTCATATTCATTCTTAGTGCATCCATTGTTAATTCTGGAATGTTTGCTTTCACACTGGCAAATTCCATCAACTGAACAAAACATTTACGTTAAGTATTTTGTACTGGATTGTTTATGCATACAGGCAGAGCGTAGTCATAGCTGCATGCTACATTAGTAGCAAAGTATATAACTGATCTAAACAGTAGATGGTGCAGTAAAACAATTTTGAGTATAAAACAGACTAAATCACAAAAAAAAAAAAGCATAAAACAGACTAAATACACAGAAGATATTATAAACCTAAACTTACAGTTTTTTGAAAAAAATACGCACAAGAAAAGTCAATTAACCTAGGAAGACAAACGACCTAACAGTTTTCAGGCCATGGAATTTGAAGGTACTTAATGGTAACGATACATAGGCACACAGACACATAATACAGTTAACATACAATCAGGAAACAGTGTAAGTAACGTAAGGAACTGCAGAGAAAGGTACAAATGCATATGAACTAACCCAGAAAACATGATGAATTCAAGCTGGAAAATAAGCTACACATTTGTGTTGAGATTGGAATTAATCGATGAGGAATAAACAGTATAAGAAACGTAGTGGAAATACTAGATATAGATAATGCTTAATTTAGAAAAAGAATAATTAAAAAAACGCTGTTGTGCGCTCCTGACGGATAATATATACGAATAAATTTGGATTTTGAAACAAAAAAAAAAAAAAAAAAAAAAATGAAACTTAAAAGACTGAGATCAACAAAGTAGTTCGGTCAACAAAATATAAACCCATAGTTGTAATACATATTCTATTAACTCATTTAATGCACAGAACATTAATGAAGAATAATATTAAACTTTAAATTACAAGAGTGGTGAAAATTACATCAGATCCTCTAAATCACCAGCAACACTTTTAGGTAAAAGAAACGACATATGACAAGAAAGAGAAAGTCCTTGATAAAAGAAACGACATCAATCTAAATGACTACCGTCTCTTTTACGACAAATGGCTTGCCTCGAATTGAACCAGCGACTGAACTGCATAGCACACCTGAGTGCTTCTCGATAAAGTTGCACTTCAGTTGAGTCAATTTTCTTTGGCTTTGCGCCTTGATGCAACGCACAGTTTAAGATCCAACCACTACGCTGAAGAAATGAAAACAGTGCTGTTTCTGCCAGAAAGCGTCCATCTTCATCTGAAAACAAACTGATTAAGTAGCCCCAGATACCCAACTTTTCCTCTTAAATCGGCATCTTAATTTCTTACTACAGAAGGCAGAAACAAAAGATGGAGGAATTTTGCAACATTTGCAGGAATTATGAATATACAAATAGTTCTGCATTAATGAAATCCAACGCTTGCATAGAAGGCTTGAGTCATGCACGAGAAAACACCTGTCAATATCAAACAGGAAAAGTAACCTGGAATTAATCTGACAATATGTTTCGAAAGGATGAAGTAGAACTGATTCAAATGCATCACATCGACATGCTCTGGTGCTGCACGCAAAACTTGCATTTGTACTGGACTGAATTCGGTTGGAGGTACAACCTGTATATATTCATTATCATTGTATGCTGAATGTTTTCTCTTTATGTTCTCACAGATACCACCGTTAAACAGCAAACATACCCTACAATTCGGCAAAGTCCTGATCATGAAAAGTGGCAAATCTGCTCGAAAGAAACCTCCTTCCATATCTGGGGCTCTTTGACCAATTAAGTGGAAGATCTCTAAAACTGTGAATTACAAAAAAAAAAAAAAAAGTGATTGTGTATTGGAGGGTCTAGTTCTGCAAACCAGTGGCATTCCCATCAAGAACTTTTAAAAACAATTCACCTCGAGGAAGAGGACTGGAGAATAAACATTTAAGACTTTGTTTGCACGCCAATATATCTCTTATATCGTAGTAGTTTTTATCAACATCCATAAGTGCTGATTGCGTTCTTTCCATTGTTTCCTATAAATAAAAGCATCATACCACTTTACGAACTAATGAATCATAGTAGTTAGTTCGTTACTTCATTACTCACGTTACTATACCACTGTCTCATTTTGAATAAAGTCTACAATAATAGTAAATGCCATTGATTACTTATCATCAAAACATCCACAATTATTTCTTTCTCTTATGAATTTCGTAGTAATCCTCCTTATTTAGAAATTAGCAGATAGAAAAGACTACAAAAATCAGTTAAAAAATAATGAAGGGTAAAAACATTTAAAATGAAAGGTGATAAAAGTCACTGCTGAAGATAGAAGCTAAGATACAACGCGGTAAGAGAGTATCATAAAAGAGATAAAGTATCATGATCATGAATTAGTCATCAATTAGGATAGAATTCGTTAACGTTGAACGTTTCCTATACTTTTTCATTGTTGCTCCTGATTTTCTAGTATTCCTTTATGTCAACAATTGTTATAACATATATCAATCAACATTCAACCATCCTTCTGTGGTATGTATATGAAGAATTTCACAAAGTTTATTCAATGCTCAATGAATATACGCATAATAAAGCATACCAAAACGACAACAATAACAGCAAACATGATATTTTATAAATAATAACAGATAATAATATATAATTAATGATATTAAAGGAAGGAAGAAATAAGTAGACAATTCGTTAAGATGGTGACACGTTAAGGTGTTGACAAAATAGAGTTAGTGTAACGAAAGTACGTGTGACATACTGACGTAGCTTAAAAATCTACGTCACTACGTACCAATACTGAGAAGCTAACCTAGTACCACCACTGAACGTTCATGTCCATCAGCCCATAAAATACCCACCCGGCCGAGAAGGGGCGCAAAAGAAGAGAGTTGAATCCTCTCCCCTGATTAGTTGATAGGTTGGTAGCTCTGAAGGGGTGTTTTACTGGTTCATTTGATCACGGAGGTAGGTAATTGTATCTATCGGTTTTGTTTACTTAATAAATTCGTAAGGAATGTTCCTATGCAATTCAATTTGATAAGAATACTTTCATATGAAGAGAAAGAGAAATTTGAATTTATCACTGCGATCGTTGATTACTTCATTGCCACTAATACATTAATGTGCCTAAAAGTAAAATAATTACTCCTTATTGCTTCTCATTAAATTTAGCTGAAATTATTGCATTAAATATGATTACTTTATATGATAAGTTCGTTTTATTTGCTAAATATAATAAATTTTATGAGATGATTAACAGTGGACATATATATGGATGCTAGAAATGCATTATGCTGTATATAATTCAATATTTTAATTTAAATTTTAATAGGTAACAGATTAATTATTATAACAGCTATTGCAAATATTACTAACCTGAGACTAGTATGAGAAGTATTATTGAACTGAATGATTTAATTTGATTACTCTCCGAAACACTGTTTATGTCATATACTCTTGCAGGAGGTTTTGTTGCAGTATTATTGGATAATTCTTTAAAACAACGCGGTATCCTGTCGATTGGATTGCAAAAGTCAGTTTGACATTGGCAACGTAAGAGATTCGAGTTATATGGTATATCATGTTGATCACAACCTATAAAAAACTACAGTTATCTGTTAGGAGACTAGTTTGTTGTGGATTTCTACTAATTTGATAAAAAATTCCCAGTGAACATTGACAGTAAATGTTACGAGTGTTATTTAATTTGATTACCATTGAATTCATCGTCGGTGCATCCAGAAATCCAGAAAGGAGATGAACCTCGCACTTCTGCAAAGAAGCAGTAGCTACGATTGCATTCGGTAACATCTAAGTCACAACAGCTACCAGCTGGTGTCATCCAACTCTCCTCTGCCACCATTTTGCCGTGACAGTACCAACAGTTGAGAGAGATGACGGAAACAAAACAAAATATGCAAAGCATGAAGAGGAGAAATAGATGTTGAAAAAGCATTGGGAAGAAATAAGTGGAATACAGAGGAAAATCGTTCCGAATTCAGATCCAGACTGAAATATTAATTCAAAAAGGATTCGAACTCGAAAATCTAGCACTCATTTCTTGTATACTCTGAAAGTCAGATATCATTTCACATATCTGTCGTTTATTCTTATATTGCCAGTGGATATAATATTATTCATACTTCATTTACTTAACTCATCCAACATTTGTGTTTCTATGTTTTCACAAAAAAAAAAAAAATGAAGTTCCTCTATTACTTATTCTTATCGTTAATTATTCCAGTATTTACACTGATTCCTAGATATTCATAATAATCGTATACTTACAATCAGTATTGATATACTAGTATTTAAATTAGTTCATCAACAACTGGAAAATGTAGTTGAGAAATTTTGCGAATTAGGATAGTATAGAGTTTTACGATGTCTACATCAGATGGAAAAGAATAACGTTTAATAAGAATAAATGATGAGCATTAGGTCTTGATAAATTGAATGATGAGTAGAGGTCTCGACGAAAGAATAGAAGAGGGATAGAGGTTTTACTGATAGAGTTAAAATTAAGTTCTGAAAATTAGCTTAAAACTTAAATATATTTGCTACAAGTTACACGAGAAACTTCGTCAAATCTATTAAAAACGTCTATTTGTCTTGTCTATCTGTACTACTTACAAACTTGTTTCCAAATTTAGCTAACATTTTGGTTTTTTTTTCTTTATCTTCAGTTATGATCACTTCTTCAACCTTTATTTCTTGCTGTCAAGAATGTTCACTTGGGGCAAAATTCATTTGACAATTACTCTTTTATTTGAAAATATTACTTTTTTTTTTTACCTCATTACTTTATATAGGATCAATAAACTTATTTCAAAAAGAATACTGAATTCATTGTAAGAAAGAAAGAAAGGTTATCGCTTTAGTAGATAGGACATGAATAAAGAATGGTATGTATGGAATGGAGGAGCAATGCTAATGCTGCTTGTAATTGAATTTTAAACACTGCTTCTCAAACGTCCATTGCATTTGCTGTTGTCCAGTAAACAGAAAAAGGTAAAAACGAGATGATTCAAGACAACTCATCAATAAGACTCTTATGCTGGCAAAAGCTTCATGTAGATTATAAGTATGTATGTGGTCAAGTAATCCTACTAATAGGAGGAAATTTAGTTGATCAAATTATTATGGGTAATTTACTGATGTCTTTCATTGATGCAGAAAATAACCTTGAAGAGATTACACACCAATGATGAATGACCATTGGCTACTTAGTGAAATAATTCCCGATGAGAAGAGGTTGTGAATTAAATGAAAACATTAATAGATCTAATGGACATAATAGAGTAGTAACATGATTAATAGGAGGAAAAATTTGACATAATCACATTTATAGTGTTCGAATTTTTTGGCCACAAAAGAAAAAAGTAGCCCAGTAATGACAGGCTAATTGAAAATGCTTGTATGTTTCATGAATGTTATTTAGGGCCTGTCACCTTTGATAATATTACGACCTAACAACATCAAACAAAAAAGAAACTGCGAGTAAGTCTAAAACGATCCGAATTAGTACTGAGTTAAAAGATGATAGGCTAGCCAAAATGCCAACAGAAAGAGTATTATTACTAATCAAACTTGTGGAAAATTTTCAGCATCAAAAAATGTTAATTGGAAATGCTTTAAGTTCTCATTTTACAGTAATTCAGACTTCATCATGAATCTTTTTTTACGAAAGAATAAACAAACGCAAATTGGAATAAGGGATCAAATTCCGGATTTTCCAGTAATGTATTTCCTTATTTTTTCTTTTCTTCAGAAAACAGCTTCGGAGGAGCAGATAGAAATAGCATAGTCAAAAAAAAAAAAAAAAAGCTAACGCATATATTTATACTGTGATGAGGATAAATCTTCAGTCATTCCAGAGAATTTGTCTAATGTATATGAGTGGAATATTATGAGCAATTCTGCAATTTCTTAATGTAATCATTTATTTCACAATCCAAAATTTGCACATCAAATTGCAGACAACAAAATAACAATAAATTGTAAAGATTTCATAAGGTGCCCACAATACCCACATACGATTACGATCTGATTTGTATATTTGGGCAATATAAATATATCGATGTATTTCCAATTTCACAAAAAAAGATCAAGTTGAAAGAGGGAAGCGAGAGTGATTAAGGATCAAAATATGGAAAATTTAAAATAAAATAGCATAAAAAGCTAGGGATACAATAATTTGATGATGAACATTTATCAATAACAAAACTCGAGATTCCCAAAATTTAAACTTGCTGCGCATATCCGGCAAGGAAACCGCGTATTTCTTCATTAATACAACTTGCTGAATCTGCTTTAAGAATTACAGCGCGTACCATTACAGCTTCAGCCAGATATGCTGCAACAAAACAACTGTAACTATCGAAATCTTCATCACTGCGTATAAAATGAGTCAGGATAAGAAAAAGGTGAGCAAGTAAATAGTGATAGCGAATCATGTATGTACTTGATGAAAACTTGCTCCCACATCTTCGCAAGGTCCTGAGTAAATCATATGAATTTTAAATTCATTGAAGCAAAAGAAAGATTCTCGAACAGTCTCAAGAAATTCCCTCTCAAAAAAAAAAAAAAACAGTAACCAAGATGGAAAGTAATAAAAATAAACACATTGATGCATGCATGCTAAGATCACTATTGACCAAAAAGATAGAAAAAAATGAAAAACCTTTAAAATTGACAATTTCTGCAGCAATTACATCCGGATGTTGCGCATAACTCAGCTTGCAGTAGGGATCATTCCGTTCCAATTCCAGTGTGGAAAGTCCTATTCCCTGTTCTTCAACATCATCTGCATTCAGAGGAGTTGGACCACAAGCAGAAGCCTCCACTAATCGTACTAATGATTCAACCAATATTCCATATTGCAGTCTATAAAAGCGAATAGATGCAAATCAGTCAAACTACAAAAATGAGGCTGTTTCATGCAAATTAAATGAACCAAGATTGCTACAATTATGCGTAGTTTTTTCTCAAATGAATGTGCATAGAATGAGAAAACTAATGGAGCACAACTGATATTTCGTTAAATAAACCTTGAAGTGAATGACAGATATCAACTTACCCTAATTTGTCCACTGTGTCAGCTGCAAGATTGGCAAAACCAATACAACACAGTCGCTTTTCATCATAGGTTGTAGTATTGTACATTTTGCCCAATTCAGGAATCAGAATTTTCTCAACAACCATCATAAACATACCCGTTTGTATTGATTCCAGAACCTATACAAAACGTGAAATTTGTTTATTTTGCTAAAAAGAAAAAACAAAAAAAAAAACGAAACCATACCTGACAAAGAACTACACTTCCTCGTAAAATCGCAAATCGAGCTAGAAAGAGAACGAAATTCTTCATAAATTTGGTTGTTTTCGTGAACTGAATTCGTCGTAACATTGGGATTAGGAGTGCGGATTCCGTTAATACATCAACCTGCTAAAAAATAAAAAGATCTTGATTTCTAGTAATGGTTTATCATTTCCTTTACAACTAAAGTTATTAACATTAAATTTGAATAAAAAAAGAAAAAAAAAAAAAAAAACAGACATACATTTACATAGTGAAGGAATATACTAGCTAGTTGGAAACCGTGTTGGTCTAAAGCTTTCGAAGAAATTAACTTCTGGAAGACCGCCAAAAGGCTGTTTGAATAATTATCCAAAATATGTTTTCCGTGACTGCGCATAAACGATTCAATAACCTAGAAACAAAAATGTGTTCAAAATGTTCATTGCAAAGCGAATGAGATTGGAAAGCAATGAAAATTCAGGCTTACCAATAATGCAGCAGGAATATTAGCTGTTCGCAGCCACAATTCACCTTTCATAAGATTACCAAAGAAAGGTAAATAGCTATCCACGCACGACGTACCTGTCTTTTGTTTTTGAGCTTCAGCCTGATCCAATAAAAGAGCTGTAATAAACTTCAAGCAAATTTTTCTTTCCAGTTTTGTTGCTATCTATTGTTACCACAATGACAAAATTTATCCAAAATTATCAACCTGTAATTTGTAGTGCATATGGCACAAAATCAACGGCATCTGAGGAAAAAATATTTTCTATAAGGGGCACCACAAACTTATCGATGCCACCATCCACTACTGCGTAAACCTGTAACTCAACAAAAATGAATCATGCAAAAGATTTCAAAAATAATGTCAATTACAGTTCACTATGGAGCTATAAATTTTTGAATAAATCATTTGCAAAGTAATTCGTTTAACAAATCTCTCTCTCTCTCCGGAAGCATAAGTGTATGCATTACTAACCTGTTTTATCAGTACACACAGTGACTCAAAGACAAAATGAAGATGCAATGGATTAACTGGATTTTTCACAGCAACACCAATCATAGTAGCCAGCTTGTCAACAATGTGGGCAGAACTTTTTGCCGTTTCCGTCTGTAATAAAATTCATACTAACCAAATGAAAAAGAAAAAACAAAAAATAAAAGTAGTCATAGGATGAAAGTATATAGTGGCGGTAAAAATGATCTCAGAATCTTCTAACAACATTATGTAACAAAAGATTTTTTTTATTTTTTATATCACTGCAATTCTAATTGTTTCTTATTCAAGTAGGAGAAACAGAAACAAAATAGGAGATAACTTCAAATAAACTAGAAATAAAAATGCTAAAAGTGGCTTTTTATAATGTGCAGAATAATCGAAATAATTTTGTCTAAAATTTGCAGAATTAGCAACATTTTTCAAAAGGAAGTTAAAAAAGCCAAACAAATAACATTCTTCAAAATATATGAAAATAGAAAGGATTTGTATAACGATTATAAATTTGAGCACTGGAAATCTCTCCAGATTAAATAACAAGAAAAATAACATGAAAGATAACCACAAATAAGCGTTTCTTACGTCGATAATATTGAAGCAACGCATTAAAGCTTTCATGAGATAATGTGAGTTCTGTGCCTTCGGATCAGCTTCAAAACAAGCGAATAAAGCAACAATCAGTGAACCCAATGGTACATTCTCATGTGTTAATAAAACCTTAAATAACGTTGGAGAATTTTGATAAAAAATAAAAATTGCTTAAAGAAAACGTACATTCAGAGCAAATAGATAAAGAATAAAACATAAAGCACATAAAGAATTAAAGTTACAGAAATGCACCTTTCCAGTTTCTTTGCATCTCACAAGCATAAGCCTTTCTAGAGCATAGGCGGTATATTGGTGCAAGATTGTATGACGTGAAGAAAGTAATTTCAAAAATGCACTGACAACTCCTATCAAATGGTCTGGCCGTAAGTGATTCCGGAACACGACAATGTACTTTAGTGCATCAGTTTTTAATATTGGTAATGCATTAACATCATCCATAAATATGTCACTATGTACGTGTGTCTGATAAAAATCGACTACATCAACCTGAAAAAAAATTTTTAATCCAAAGCAACGTGAGAGCATTCCTATTTAAACCACTGCCCATTTCGAATAATACCATAAGAAATTTATAAAACTTACGAGATCACTAGTAACAGTCGCACCATGCTTTACAGTCTCTGCTTTCACCGCAACTGCTGTTATTAAGCAATAAACGACATCTTTCTTCAACCAGTTATTAGTGAGATCTGCTACACTTTCTTGCAAAAATGATTGTAATACCCTTGATAAGATAGCCAAAATTCGAGATTCGTCAGGTCGGCGACAAAGTGACCTCAAGAAATCACTTGCCCCACGACGTCGTGTACCAATATCAGAACCTGAAAAAAATTTTTTTTTAATGAAAGGAATACTCAGCAATGCAAGTTTCGAAGCTGCGTCACAAGGGTAATTCCAGTTCATGAATATGTTAAACCTGAATTTACAGTACGATCTCATCTACAAAATTAATAAAAAAGTTTCGGAATTTTTGTGTTTCCACGAACCCATCCCGTCCTTTAATATCTCAGTACTAATAAGATGAAATAAATTGCAAAAGTAAAGCTGACAGTTCAAATTGTTAGCAGTAATCCACGAGATTAAAAATGAGCTTTGTTTGAGAGTGAATCATCAGGTCTTCAAATGAAGTAAGAGAAATGCAGTTAAATGACAGATTAATAAAAAATATTATACTTCGTCCAATAGATTACGTAGGATCATAAAAAAAGTTCTCATGAAGATACCTTCAATATCCTTTCTCATATATTCAAAAGGATCGTCCTTGAAAAGCTCAAAATCGCATTTCCTTAACATTACATTCTTAATTATTACATCTTCACATAGCGTCCTTAACATCTCCTCGTGATCGAAAATTGTTGAATATTGAGATCGTTGACAAACCGAGGATAGAAAGCCAAGCGATGCGTTCACTAGAGTGTCATACCTAAAAATTAAAAGAATTAGTAATTTACGCCTATGTGCTTCTCCTGTTCTATCCAGATAACACATGTATTTTCTTGCTTTCAATAAAAATGAACCTCGCTTTCTCGTCGATTGAAACTAGTAGTTGCCAAATACATTCTATTAGCCAATACTCTTGTTCTACTTTTTCGTGTGTAGCCGAACTCTTATCACTCGGCATCATGAAAGGCATTACTTCTTCCTCGTAACGCTGTAATCAAGTTTTATTTCTCAAACAATTTTAGAAGGAAAATATTTAAATTTGCAATATGCAGACATACTTGAGAGTAAAGCGTGATAATTTCACATATACAACACTTCAGTTTATCCAGAATATTAGCCTCTGAATCGATGCTTGCTGCATCCATTTGAGGAATTTGCAATCGCAATAGTGCCATAAAACCATTTATCCATGTATTTAAGTGATCCTGGAGATGTCACACGATAATACACATTAAGAACTTTTAACAGTTTCGGTTTTGAAAAAATCATAGATTGCTGACAACAGTTGGGTCAGAAATTACCTCGAAATACTCCGGCAAATCTTGTGAACAAAGAGAATGAAAACATTTCGTAATGAGAGTAGTAACTTCAATCCATGACCGACATTCTGTTTCCGACATCAAATCCTTATTTGGGATACATTCTATCATTTTTGCAAATAAATCGGTTAATGGTGCTGCTATCTAAACGAAAGAACAAAATATAAAGTATGAGCAATCGTTTTGTCAAACACAATTCAGGTTGTAGCCGAAAACTCACCGCCTGCAAGACAATGACCAATTCCTGCCATAATCTATTAGATTTCACTTCATATCTGTATTTCTTACAGAGCTCATCCAGTGTATATAACGTTGATGTAAGTTTATCTAGATCAATTCCTGTTAGATTTTGGGCCAAAATTGTGATTAGATCAGGCCATTCTTCAGGAAAGTCATGCTTTCCCATAACACACACCACTTGCGACAACTGCTTCTGAATATTCCCTGCAAATACTCTAATAAAATGCTGTATCATATGATAATAAACATAACAGTGCACAGAAATCAGGAAAAAACAAAATGTTAGAGAAGATGTATCTCATTCATATCATAGTTTTCGATCAGATCCCGGAATGCACCTCTACTACTAAATAACCTAATTAACTAATATGAAAAAATTTGTACCTGAAGTGCTAAGCATACTTTCCAGTGCCCTTGACCGCAGCTGTGATCGTTCTTCATCGTTTATTTCAACCAAACATTTCTCCTTATTCTGGAAGAGTATGCTGGATACTGATAATTGCAGTAAGAAGCATTAAGGTTAAAGCATTGCCGTAGCATAAAATAAGGCGTATCCAGTAGCATAATGAAACCTGCTATATTTTATACTTTTATCTCTTGGTTTATCTACTTTAGCTTTTTTCATTGAATAATACAAAACATAAATTTATCAGTGTAGATTTTTTAAAACGGAGATGGAAAACAAGAATACTGTGTTTTTTTTTTCACATCCACACTTTCAAATTCCATCAAAAATCGACGACAAAAAAAAAAAAAAAAAAAAAAAAAAAAAAACATAGTCATGCAAAAAACAATCATAAACGATTAAAATGCTGCAAAATCCACTGATATAACCATACCTATTGCAATCTTTTAATGAAAAAGAAAATAATACGAGAAAATCCATCGAAAAAAGAATCAAAAATACGTACCCAATTTTCTTTGACAAAATTCTTGAGTGATACCGCCGAGGCCAATGCAACTGCGGGAAGCGTTTGTTGACTGAATATAAGTTCAAAACAAACCATCCCAAATCCTATTATTAAACATCATGATCCAAAAAAATAATTCACAGGAAAAGATGATAAGAAAAACAAATTGTCAACGAATAGCTTAACTCAATAAAAAAAAAAAAAATTAACTGAAAAATTCAACAAAGAAAGTTATAATCATTTATTAAGGTGAAACTATATGTAGCATTCCAATAAATATCAATTTATACATATAATTAGTTAACATTATGAGCAACTTACCAGGCAATTGCTCCATTTGCTTCAAATCATTTTCCGCAATCCGTCGTATCTGTGCGTTTGGTTCCAGCGTTCGTTTTAAGCATTCAGCTACTGCTTCTGCTCCTGCGGCCATTTTAACTGTAAAATAAGTTTATATAAAATAGAAGGAATAATAATAAATGAAAAAAAAAAAAGTAAAAACGAAGAATACTGCATACAACAGAGAAAGTTCTATCTCCCCGACTACCAACGAATAAATCATCAATCACTTTCATCCCACATCGCAGGAAAATGTATTCAAACCGTATGAAAACCGACGTCCCATATAGTCAGTTTATATATTGCAATAAAAACAGAAATGAATTTGCAAAAATTGGAATACCCCAAGAGTCGGAAATTTCCGGTAATGATAAGATTAAAGTGTTCCAGATGGAATAGCGATAATGATAAGATTAAAATGTTCCGGGTGAAGTAGCGACAATGATAGGATTAAAACATTCCGGGTAAAGTAGCGATAATGACGAGATTAAATGTTCCGGATGAAGTAGCGATAATGGTGAGATTAAAATATTCCGGATGAAGTAGCGATAATGATAAAATTAGAACGTTCCGGATGAAGTAGCGATAATGATAAGATTAAAATGTTCCGGATGAAATAGCAAACTCTTTCCTATCAGCTTCATCTCTCACTTCGTACTCTACTTTTCATATTTTAACTGCTCAGTGTTTTCTCTTTTTACGATCATTGTATCATTTATTTCCGTAATTATAGATTGAATTATTATCAATATTGAAATTGCATACTATATTGTTATCATTGATAACTGAAATTGTAAACCATACACTGATAATACTATATAACACTTTATCAGCTTTTTGATAGCTGATTAGTAATAGTGATAATGACATTGTGAAGTAATTCGATAAGTTTATTGATAATTCTGTTTTGAAGTAGTGAAAGATCGAGTTCTTTCAATTATATTTGTCGATGTCCAATGAAAATTTGCTTTTGCTGTGTAATGAATTAATGAGTTAAGCATAGGAATAAGAGTCACCACTAATCAACCATATTGACCTGGATATTGATCACAAAGGTTGATTATTGGAGTCTTCAAATACATTCGCATTTTTTTTGGTCAAAAGCGTTAACATAAAAGGAACTGTTATATGATTATTTGTGTATGGTATAACTGGTTATGTCGTCATACGTAACAGAATCTGATCCTCTGATCAAATCGTATCAGAACAGATACAGAAATATGATACACAACTAAAGGATTAGTAAGATCTTTTTTTTAGTTTTGATTGTTGAAGAGAATAAAGTTCTCACTCTAACACATTTTGGAGTCTTTATGTACCATTAATTCTAGTTTGCAGCTTAATAACGAAATCTGTATTCGAGAAAGTAAGATCTTTTTTTTTTTTTGTTAGTTTCGAGAAAATATACAAGTTTGTAGTTCCTACTTTATTCACTATTTTATCATATAGCATTTTAAATTTTATTTGGGCTTTTCTTTTTCAATGAAATCACATAATATCTGACCATACAATTGAATCTGATCATACAAAGCGGTAAAAACAATACACGCTGTTTTACAAAAAATGAAAAAAAAAAGAAAGACATTGTCATTCGGATTGTTCTTCCTTTGAGATACTAATAAGATCAGCACTTTTCAAATGAAGCCCTCCTACTATTACTGATCTAAATTTAATTCTCCCTACTTCAAGTATAGTACATTCTTAAATATGCTCTCTCTGGAACATAACTACTTTCTTTCAGTTCAGTCCACTTTACTCCTTCATTTTGATCACAAAACATGTTATCTAAACTATGGATTCGGAACAGTTTTACTAAGAGCCTGCTCATGCATAATCACTTCAGCTTTCAAAGCTTCAACCTTCTGTAGGATCTTCTCGTTCACAAGAGCTTCAATATCCTGAAACAAACTATTTTGGCTAATGAATGGCACAAAATTTATTATACTATTATTATGAACGTTTCATTTTTCTCTATTGGACTAACTTTTTTTTTTAAACAAACATACGGCCGAAGAGTTCGACATAAAATTAATCAGACTCTCCCAAAAAAAGGTGAAATATCAGAAGAATGTGATAAATAATTCTGGCAAACTAGATAAGACTACATAAATTTAAAGAGTGAAATATCATTACAAGTCGGTTATAAATGGCTAGGAACTTGTCGAAACTTTCCTAAGGCAAGTTAATTAAATACAGCTTCAAGTCAAGAAAAATTTGCATTTTACCATGTGATCCTGTGCAACAATTGCCGGATTATAACGGAAATAGTAGTCTTTCCAAACTTTAATACACATTAACCGAGTGTTAGGACGCAAAATATCGACAAATCGAGGATACTGGTTGTAGAATGGATTGAGAAAACGCCTTCTTTCAGTAATAACGTAAGACCATAGCGATACTGTATTTTCCTTTACGCGCTGAAAAACCTTGACTGAATAGAGAATGAATGTCCTTAACTGATTTAGTCAGTATATTGTATTTCATCATGCAATCAATTAAAAGATTTTTTTACTGAAAGACGTACTTGGTCGCGATGCCGTTGCTTTTCACTGTTGTATAAGAATGTCCCAAAACGACAAGAATATAACTCATCCAATATTGTTATCAGGAATAACGAATTGAATTCGAAAGCATATGGAAACTGAATGATATAAGCAAGTTAACCATTAAGATGAAATAGTATAACTGTATATTTATTAAAAACAAACGCATCTAGACTGAAAAAATGTGAAGACAGTAAAGCAAATATGGATTAGTCTTCTCCTGGTAGTATGAAATTTAGAAGAAAACTTCGAAATGAAAAAAGTGCAACTCATCAGCTCTTAAATCAAATTTTGCAAGTGTATGTAACTCAGCTTTCTTACCTGATTCATAATTTGCCACACACAATCAATAAATTGCACAAATATGGGGGATCTTTCGCTATCACTATGTTTGTCTTCTCCATGTCCCACACGCTATAATGGCATTGTTTATTTATTAATTCATTTATTAATTTAGAAAGATAAAAAAATTCTTTCTTAGAACAAAAACAAAAAGAAAATTGATTCTAGTTGATGTAACATACGTGGGCAAATTTATGGCCAAAACTGCACCATTCCTTTTCCACCAATACTGCAAATCCTTGAATAGTTCGGTAATACGGATCCAACTCCAGCATCGCCAACGAAGTTAACTTAAATTAATTATATCGATACAACCAGTGTTCACAAAAACTAGACTTGTAGAATCATTTAATAAAGAAGTAATAAACTGAAGACATACCTGGGAAGTTCTATCCCAACCATCGCTACAATGAATCAGAACAGACGCTTTGTTATCTTCAACTTCGCGAGCAATTTGGGTTGCACCATCCAGAACAGTCTGTAAAACAGCATTTTCATGCCTTATTTTAGTATTCCAAAACATAATTCTTTCTAAGTACACAATCGTTAACAAAATATCACAACCAAGAAAATATAACTGGGACGAAGCTATATAGAAAATTACAAAAATAGAGTCAACTTCAAAAACATAGATAAATAGCCTAGCAAAAAGAAAATATTTTAACCTATTGACATTACGGTGAAAAAAATATCCTAAATAATCATGGTAAGAAAATTCAGAAAGAAACTCTTCTAGGACAATCTCAGTTGTTCTCAAAATCAAGAAGGTAGATAAAACCTGAATATGGTTCAACCATTTCGTTTCATCCAACATACGAAACCAGTTTTTCTCATCGACACGAGGATATGATACATCTTTTAATTTTCTTAGCCTGCAATAGCATTTCTCCATTATCTTCGCATAATGACTTTTTGTTAGAAAATTCGGATCACAATTTCTGCCAGATATACAAAAGATTAGCCCGTAGCACACATAGATTTTTGTAACGACTCTTGACTGTATCAACTTTTATGATCAACCACTGCTTATTTTGATAGATTAAAATTCTCAAAACATTCTTTAGCATTTTCAGTAGAAGTATGTCTATTTGTTAATTAAATATGCCTGTTACACATAGGAGCTTTAAGAACCTTCTTAGAATAGTACTAATATTAATACATATACATAGATTCTTAGATAGAGGGTTAAACTTGATCTATGATTACATAGAAAAGATCATATAAAAGAAAGATCCAAATCAATATTCCTGTGTGTATAAATTAATGTTTTAGTGTATACATATAAGATTTTTGAGACAGTTTAATTAAGGTCAAACCACTGAAAAAAAGTTGACGGAAACTGAACCGTCACTTCTAAAATGGTAAAACAATGGCAACTATCCCTTTGAAGCAACAAAACATGAAGTTCGGCAGTTTAACTGAATTAAGAACACGCCAGTGTATACAAGAACAAAGAAGCAAAAAAATATTAAACAAACTTACGATTCTCGAACCACATGAATGTTCTGTATATCCAGAAATATCAGTCGACAGTTCGCATATGAATCTTCAAAACCACCACCTTTTGCCTATAAACTGTAAATTGCTTATTTCTGAGGATCAATGAAAAGGATCAAATGATTTCTTCTAGAAATATCAAAAATTAAGTTACCAAATACATTTCTACTATATTTGAGGCAACTAGTTCTGGATATAGAAATAAAAGCATCTATTAAAACGCACTTTATTGACTTTTGCGTTTACGGCCGGACGAGCATCAAATATAAGTAGCTGATGAGCATGCGCATTCGCTTCGATAATCATCTGTAGATATCTGAAAAATAATTTTATAATTAGCGACCCAAACTATAGGAAAGAAAAGAAGTATTTCAAGGCTTATTTAACTATGCTATGAACACTTTTCTACCATCAAATCACTTATAAAAGCATTCCAAGATTAAATACCGTTCATCTTCCGCAGATTTTCGAGACGTAACGCCAACCATTGGTTGCGATGATCGTGTTATTGATGCTTGAGAAGTAGGATGCAACCATGACAAGACCTGTTCCAGGAATGCCCCATTAATGAGATGAATATGGAAGTAATTAAAGTATATGCTAAAATCATTCAGATAAAAATTCGGTTACTTACAGGTATCCTTTGCTTACTCCGGAATTCACCAACTTTTTGCAAAAAATCTTCACCCTCTATCACTGCTGTTGCTGGTACAGCTAACTGAAATAGATCGGTTAAATTTTTAAATTTTCATAAATAGTATAATCATTAAATTCTTATTATGAAGACAGTCATGCTATAAATTGTATGCTATAAATTTACCAAAGCAGGATATGAGTCGGCGAATTCATATCGATCATTTATCTTGGTGATTCTCCAAGTTTCGTTTGGTACATTCTGCAATACTCAATACATCTGACACTATTCGTTTTAGAGTTTGTGTACCGAAATTAGATATGCAATCAAACATTCCTCTATAAGGTATTAATAATTACTGAATGTACAGAAAAAATTTGTTACCATTCGATTCAATTCTCGGACAGTATCATAAACGTTCCAACCATTGAAAGTCCAATCAGGCTTGAAAGATACAGCGAAGAAAGCCTGAAATTATGAATTCAAGCACAGATGAATTAGATAAATATTTACTCTTAAAAGCTTTGAAATATCACTTTTCAAGTGAGTTTGTTACATTTTTCGTTTATGTAATAAGAAAAAAAAAAAAGAATTGACTATGTGGGATGTACGTAATAGATTCATAAGTCATAAGTAAAAACAATCTAGGTTAAGCAAAGAGCTAAAAACCATGCATCATTAACTTTTACATTCTACGATACTGAAACCAGAACCCGATGATACTATTAGCAATAGAATAAAAGCATCGACTTCGAAAGAGAAGCTTACAGCTTTGTTGGTAACTGGGAAAGCAAATCGCTGTAAACTTTCATAAAGTGGACGTCTACTGTGATTCGTTTGCTGATGAGTGAATCTTATATTACGCATGTCCTGCAATAAACATATAAAAATAATGGACACTGACAGCATTAACGGATTCAAAAAAAGTAGTCACCTTACAAGTGATCTCCAGTCCGTAAGAATCTTCGCCGCGGCTTACTGTAGAATAGCCAACTTTTTCAACCCGTGAGATGCATCCCAGAGGTATATCAAATTGACAACACTGAAAAAGCTTTTTGTCATTATTAGCCAATTATAAGTATTCATCTTGGATGAGAATCCAACCATTATTTGGAATATTATTTAAATTTTTTTTTTTTTTTGAAACATTATTTGAAATACTTAAACAAAGAAAGAAAAACCTTGCTATGTCGATTTTCCGAAGTTGATTTCGCTTCAAAACGTAACCGGTAATTGGTAACGAGTACCCTACCATTCACTTTACCTACCGGTGACATATAACCAATGTTTGTCTCTGCAAATTAAGCCATATGAAGAGCACAACTAACCAAAAAATAAAAAATTAACAACAGTACAACCAACGGTAGCAACTTATTTTTGGATAAGTTAATGAATTGTTATACCTATAAAATATACCACAAGGAGAGAAACCAATGAGAATAAATCGTTTACAGATATCTGAGATATTACCACAGCTCTTTGATTCAGTTCAGCTAGGAGAAAAAGTCAAATAATCAACATACCCTCAGTTTGTATCTTTTCCCCTGGAAGTACCCAAAATCGGTCAGCATGTCTCATTTTATTCTGAATTAAACTGTGTGAAGAAGAGCTACCACCAGGTGTCATCCCAACCGCCTGGAAGTATTATCAAAAATGTCAATTTTCATTTTCAACAAGTTATGAATGAATATTTCCTTTGCAGATGAAAGCTTTAATTACTATGTCCTAATACAATTAAAGCACCATACAGCTTACCGCCAATACATCAGAACAAAAGTCGCCATCTTGCGATGAATCATCGCCTGAATTCATTTCTTCCTTCTTCACACTTCTAACTAATCAATAGACACACTTAGCATCCTGATAAATCGTATTAAATTATTTACATGTTTAAAACATCAACAGAAACGAACAACTATTTAACAGGACAAATTGGACAAAAGCTAAAACTGCAACGTCATTAAAATCATTGCGAATTTTCATTCTCTCAGTTCTAGTTGTAATTTACGTTTACGCTTTCTTCCTTCCTTCCTCATTGCATCACACTACAATATTGCCAGTTCCGGAATTATGAAAAGATTATATAAGTTCTGAATATACTTCTCAGAAATCTCATGAACTGCGACAAAAACTTTACATTCTTTTACCACTTTTAATAAAGGAAACACGCAGAGGAATTGTTCCGAATAATATTGCATCACTGATTGGAAATATCGTTCTTTTTAGAAGTTGGAAGAGTTGGATTTCAGTAACAAGCGTAATCAACGATACCACAACGAAGATGAAACATATTTCCTTGAAAATTCCCTCTTATCTTTTATGTACTGATAACCTTTTGTATGTATTCACAGTGCTTCTCTACTCTGAGAGATTTTATAAATAAAAATGAAACATTGCATTCTTTGTTTCTATTTTCTGCTTTTCAATCATAAAGAAATACAGTGAGACACTTTCCAATTTTATGCTCGCCGTGCAATGAAATACAGAGTGGATAAATTTTACTGAATACAAATGTAGAACACGCTACAAAAGACAAGAAAGCGAATAATAAGAAAATCAGATAAAGAGAAATGTTCTTGCTGCTTTTCAGTCATTTCTTTTACGATCCGATTTCTCCTAAAAAGAAAAAAGAATTATAATGAAACAACCATTCTACTATCTATAACGACATCTTTTTGAAGGTCAAAAAACAAGACCATTAAATTCAACTTCTAGAACTTTTACTGAGAGAGGGAAAACTGTTTTTGCTACTTCTCAGTCATAAGCTAGTGGAATCAGAAAAATGAAACTCTTATGTAGATTCTGTAGCTTATAGTAGTGATATATGTTCCTCTAGGAAAGAAATAATTGAGCTTCACACGAAATTATGAGCTCGATTTTTTGCCTGAAAATGAATAAGAAACCGTACCTTCTTCTCACTGAGGACAGCAAGTATATAGCGGAATAGATTGATAAAATCGACGAAAAGTTCAATGGTGTGCAGTATGTAATCTGTGTCACCACGACGACGCTTCTCACAAATCAACTGCGTATCGTAGAGTACGAGAGCGCAATTGATCACAAAAGCTAACCAAAGGCAAGTGGTATGCATAAATGCCGAGTGTGAAAATAGAGCCGTGATCATGATGAATAGCAGTCCAGAAGTAATGATGCCTACAAAAAAAAAAATATTATGTTTAACAATTCATTTTTTTTTTAATGAACATAAAAAATTTCTACACTTTCTTTATGAGCTAGTTCAAAAAACAAGCAAACAGTGTAGAAACCTCCAAGGTGAAGAAACTTTGTGGAAGGTGCATGCAACGCTGCCATAGTGAAACAGCTAAATACGACTGCAGTAGCGAGGAATGCAGTGAGAATAGTTGACGGATCGATCATCAAAGCTTTTTCAATGACCGGACCAGAACTTACACCTAGAATGATTTTAGATGCAAGCAGATACTTATTCAATCTAAATGCAAAATAAATTCCAGCAATTAGAAATTACCTGATAAGGATATCAGCACATTTCTAAAAGACTAACAAAAAACGTACCAGAAAGAGCGCAAAAAGCAATGAAATATCCAAGTCGTTTACGTTCATTATGATGATTATGTGGAGTCTTTAGCAATGCTATCATTAGTAGAATAGAACCAAACAAAGTAAAGAAATTATCACGAAGGAAATCGACAAACAAATGAAGCAATGCTCCAACGGTTGCTGCCATTAAACCCAATGCCAAAGTTCCATAAACAGCCTGCAGATGCTTCTGCACATCCTTCTCCCTAAAACAAGGAGTTGATGAAGGTAACAATGCAAATAATTAACTAAAAACATATGAAAAGAAAAATTTTCTAGTACTGAATTACATATAGTTTCATTGAATGCAAGACAAACTATGATTACAAGATACCATCACAATTAGTATCACTACAGATGGATGTTATTTGCATAGCCCACTATTTAGATTCCAATAACGAGTTTAAAATTATAGCTTAAGTGTCGAACTAATTAATTATTACTGATTATTACTGTTATAAGAAATGTAACATCTTACAGTTTATCATTCAGCGAAGTGAAGACATTGCGAATTTTGCGAAATACGTCGCTCTCACCATGCATATCATCTCTTCTATATGCCATGTTTTTCTATTTTACTGAAAATAAATAAAATTAAGGAGTAAAACACCAACCAAACCTCACAACGTCACTCCCAAGACACATTATAAACAACAAACACACACATTCACACCACCCACGCAACATATCAATTACGTCATCAGATCACTGGAAACCACAAGGCTATCACCATGTCCATGCCATTTCGAAAATTTGAGTCCCAACACACATTAAATGTTTTCATTTTTATTGAAAGGATTTGTAATTGGAATGAGTGAGTTAATCTTAAATTGTTGGGAAGAGATGTTACAGGTAAAATAAGTAATTTATTACTACAATACTATGACCGTACAGGTAATGACTTATAGAAAATGGCGAAATTATCATTAATATGTGAATGATACAACTGCAATGTAGCATTCAAATCATATAATATAATAATGATATATTCATCCTAGCATTCTGGAAGTGTCACTATCAATAAATGCGACTTTTATACTAAGCATATCCTGGAATAAGGTAAAAAATGATATAAAGATGTAAATTTAATAGGTGGACAGTGATATTAATTGATAAGCAATAGGTATAGATATGTTTACAGGTGCAAATTGAGAATAACGGCAGTTGTTCTTTTATTTATAGCATAGATTGTTGGATGATAAAAATGTAGAAAAAGATGGAAGGTAGTGCAACGCATAGATTGCTGATAGCTTACAGAGTGTATGATAACATTGTTTCTTATCCATGCGAAGTTCTCTTACTTTTAAGTATTACTTATCTCATTCAAAAGATTGTTAGCTCTCGAAAATGTATCATTTTATTTGAAATTGTAAATGAGAGATGGGAAAGTACATAGATAAGAGACCAGATTTGAGAAAATATTAAGATTTATTGCAGTTTTCAAAACAGATATTACGCTTATCGACTGTGAGACAATCTGACAAGAAGCAGTTTCATATGAAAGTGAATTCTATTGGAGATTTATTCCTTTAGAGGATAACAGTCTATTACCAGGTATTAATGATAGTATTATTAGTGTGCTACCAGCAAAATGACAATCCACTCCGAACACAAGTAATATTGTGAATAACATATGAACCATATGTGTAAAGTATTTTTTTTATAGTAATAAGCATAAAATTAATTAATGTTAATTAATCAGTTAATTAAATTACTTAAATTCTTCATTTTTCTTTATTTTGTCTTTCCTTTTCTCATTTCTAAGATAATACGTTATGTGAAATGAGCACAAAACTTATCAAATTTATAATAATGTCATTATTTAATGGAATTCTACCTAAAGGGATGTGTATTTGTGTCTGTATTTAGTTAAAATTATTTCTTAACAATATTCATCAAACAAAATGCCAAATAATTCTATCTTTATACTGATGCATCTAATGTGCACAATTGAAGCTTAACCTGCCATTCTTTTCGTACTACAAGTAAATTCAGGTAAAAATGCTAACTGTATTAGACTCTCATTTCCTTGCAATTTCTCTCTGCTGTATTCTTCAGAATATCTATAATCTTAAATTTTCTAGGCATCTTGTCATCACAATGATTAGTGTGATTGCATGAATCAGTATCTGTTCTACAATAATCATTAAATTTTCATTGGTAGAAATAAACTCACTCATAAAATTAGCCTAATGAGTATGCTAATACTACAATTTCCCAGGTTCATAACAAATAAAATTTGTAGTATTAATAAGTCAGTAGCATAGCAACAATAATTATGATATGGTGTTATTTAGAAAAACGGGCATTTCAACCAGAAAGCCACTTTTTTCATCTTTTTTGGCATTTTTTTTTTTTTCAAATGTTATCCTTTTTCTTGCTTTATATACAAGTAATAGAAGCTGTGTTAGGAAAGCAGGTACCACTAACATATTTGCTTATATTTACCTTCATTTTCACAACCAATTATTCTATTAAAAAAGTATCATTAAGGAAACAACAAAGAATCAGAATTTGGGTATAACAAGTCACAAAACCCGTAATTTAAATAGTGAGGTACATACATAATCTAACGTATCTTTTTTCTTAATGGTCCTCCGAATTTTTGAGGAACATTCAACCATTTGTGTATTACTTTGGCAGCACTGAAATAATGATCAAAGTGTACGAAACGTATAAATTTGCCTTGTATATAAAAACTATCACAATGAAGAGGCGCAGAATAACGCTTGGAATCATGGACGGTAACAGCCTTCATTTCTATATTCATAGCATCATCACATCCCGCCAGAATACCTGAAATTACAATAACAACAATAGTAACATTAACAGTAACATTTTACTTCGAATAATAAAATTATTGAATGTCTATAGAAACAGTGAAGAAGAGCAATAACCAAACAAAAACAGTAGAATATTCCTAGCATTACTAATGCAGGAAGCTCACTGAGTGTCTAAAAATATCTAGCAGATAAACTAAATCAAATCAGTACTACGTAGAAAGAACAGATATGATATTGTGTATACGAATTTACCAATGCAATGAAGGATAAGACTCAGATTTTATTGATAAATTTCATTTCAATAATTAATAATTCTCTATTTCCTTTTCCTTTGCTTCCACCTTCATCTCTGCTTTAATGGTATTGAGAGAACGAGTGTATGAGAAAGCAAAGATAAAAATCTTTTCTTGGATAGCGGTACTTATAACTATAAGAGCAAATGATGACTCAAATAAACATACAGGCAAGTCAGTGTATTAGATCTAACCATGCACAGTAGAATAATTCTTCAGTTCAACGACTACCGAACTACCTTCCATAGCTTGAAGAAGACAAGCCATTGTGTTGGCAGTTCGTTTTTGTCTGAAATCTGTCGATCGCAAAAATGCCATTCACTCCTGTTAACCTTTCAATTAACTTCCGATATTTCTTGCGTTAAATCTTGAAAAAAGATCCTATATAATCAAAATAAGGAATAATTCAGGATTTCACAAAGAAAAAATTTTATCAGTGCAAAATCGAAATGATAGGAAACGTTTTACTTCAGTTGAAGCAGCATAATAACAGCGGAACAAAAAGGAAACGTCAACGGATGCACAACCTGTTTATTATTTATCGACAAATGATACTAAATAGAATGCGAGAATTAATTGCTGAAAATATTAGCATATCATTTTCAATATCACATATTATACAATGTAATATGCATCTGAAAGTACTTTACAAAATGCGGTATCTACTTACTTCCTCTTTTTTACTGAGCATTTAACACATAAGCATTTGCTGAAAAATCTACAGATAACTGAAAATTATAAAACAATAAACACACGGGCAATTTGAAAAAAAAAAAAGAAAACTTTACCCAAAGTCAATTTTTTGAAGGTATTACTGCTAAGATTGTGAAGAATATAAGAAAAATAAAAACCCAACTGATAGAAAAAAATTCCAGGAAAATGGTAGAAGGGTTTAAGGAGACTAGAAAGCCATCTATTTAGAAGACAGAAAACAATGATGTGATATCTAATGATATGTCAAATTGATTGGAACGGTTTAAAAATTGGAATTTGAACGAAACGTTATGAAACCCATTCATCTGTGCGCCAGATGATTGCGCAGTGCGAATCTCGGCGAAGAGTAGTTGAACCCTGATGCTTCCGATCCGTAAATCGATCTATCAGACATCTGGAAGTTATCTAAATTATTTATAGTAATGTGCTAACTTCAACTGAAAAAAAAAAAAAAACTGAATGTTTTCAGTCCGAAAGTTTATTAAAGACAAAATTATTATCATTTAGCACAAAAGAAAAGGAATGCTCTACATCAGATCAAGTAACACAAATATAAAATCCCTAATTTTATCACAAATTGCAGTTGATCAAAGATGTTAAAGAGATAACAAACCTATATCCATTTCCAATCGTAATTACGTAACTATTTAAGGAAGACATACGCTCGGTAGTACCCTGCCTAAAACGATTTACTGTTTCTGATAAGCGATCCTTCACTCGGCTAACACCTTCTAATGAGTTATCACCGCTATCAGTGCTGTTAGCACCAAAACTTCGTTTTTCTAAGCTTGTCACACTGATAAGGTCTTTACGAGTACGTATGTATTCATTTAGAGCTGAAGCTACGTCCAAGACAATTATCGTATGTACATCTTCCACATATGGCCGGAATGCAGCAAGTGGTCGCATCTGCAGTACAGTATCAACATTCAACAATATAATTTTCTAACTTCAACTTTAACAAAAGATAAATTGAGTAAAATGGAATGATCTCAACAGGAAACGAAATTTTTTTTTTCAAAACATTTCAACATTATAATTCAACTTATTTTGTAAATGATCTTCGGTTCATACATTAGTGATTTCAACTTTCATCATCATTTGAAACATGGATACCACGTTATTAATGATGTACTTACAATAGTACTTATATTCAACAATACAAATACAAAACTTTCACTATAAGTATCCCAATGGATGTAATTCAAACTCTGATGCCATGAATGAATAAGACAATTACCCAAACGTGCAAAAACAATATCTTAAAGTTCATATTTTAAGCTATGAAATGTTGATTGATGGAACATATGTCTATATGCTGTTCTAGTTTCTTTGCAAAATATTATCTCAAGAAAAACAGTTATCACATTAAAGCCACAACGACAAAAACTTTACTTACCTCGAAAGCTTGAGCAACAATTACTGCTCCTCTGCTTGTTCCTATATACAGTTGTGCACCATCTGTCCTATCTAGCAACGCAAGTGCAGAAACATAACCATCTCGAGATGCCTCAATATCCAAGGTTGAAATTGATTCCGAGGAAGGCAAAATTTTACGGGAGTCAAGCCGATTACGAATCATTCGTGATGAAGTGGACCACTGATACACCTACAGATGTGTACTACGTTATTTCCTAAACTATTATTGCAGAATACTACTCGAGGTGATCAAAGGAGAACGAGTTTGATCACAATACTTTCATTTCACTTAAAATCATACTAATAATAAGGAAAGAAGATGTAAAACCACTACAAAATTCTTTTCAACTTCTTGAAGCTTATATTAATACAGAATTATTGCATATTTCCCTTTATGAAAATTAGGTGCTAAAATATGGAAAGTACCAGGTAACAATCTTGTCAATAAAAAGAAAAAAACAATTATAAATGTTATTTACAAGTAAATTACTTTGCTTCCATGAGAGAGAACAGACCATAAGAGCGCTGAATCTGTTTCAGCAGTTACCATATGCGACACACAACTTTTCTCAACTGCATTTACTTGGTTTTCTTCATGACAGATGTTTGCAGATAATACCAGTTGATTTTCTAAAGTTACATCATAAATGGATATGGAGGAATGTTCGTGTCCCGTCCATATCTGCCTGAAAGTAAAAAAAAAAAAGACTTAAAATATGATCATGCTGGTGGGTTTAAATCGACGCGGTAATTCAATTATGTTATTACATACATCGCTTTTCCTTCATTACATAACTACTAATATATGACAACATTATTCATTTTCATCATTATTTAGATTACAAACAAATTAATCAATTAACTAATGGAATTAAAATTGATTTGATGAAACAACAACTAAATAAATCTGGTTGGGAAAGAAATCGAAATTTATCAGAACATAACTTCATCATTTATAATCAAAAAAAAAAGTCCAAAAGTGAAAAAATAAAATGTAAACCAACAACATATATTTTCACATATTGATCAAAAACAAAATTAGAACCGCTTACTTCCCATTCTGGCCATAATCGATTATAGCTGATGAATGAACGGTGGATAAACCAATGGAAGAGACGAAAGGATTATCAGTAATACGATCACCCTTCACAAGTAATAACGCAGAAGGAAGAGTAACTAATATTAATAGCGGAGTAGCAATAAAAACCGATAATGAAATGACACTAATAGACAGATGTGCAGTAGGGAGAAAACGTGATATTGAAAACGACCAAAGTTCGGAATATGATGAGCGGCTATAAATAGATGAATTTTGAGAGATAAAAAAGTACGAAAAAAAAAAAAGATACAGTCCTCCTTTTTCTAATTTCATTAAAACTAATAAAAGTAACACGCGATATCAACAAACCAGTAAATCCTTAGTATTCCAGTCGATTCTGCAAGCCATACATTGTCGGCGACCACACACATCGCCAATATTACTGTCTTGTCCGTATTCATAATGATGCTCTACAATTTTACTAATAGAACACTACCAATTTTTGATTTCATATGCTGTATCTTTCAAACAATCAAACAACAAAACTTATGGAAGATGAAGCAACCTTAGAATCTAGCCAACCGTACTGATTGCAACTAACAACAGTGACAGATCCGTCTGATCTGCTCATCCATACTTCTCCTTCAACACTGTCTTCTATTGCGGAACCAAATTCCACGTCATCCACAGCTGAAAAAATAAAACTAATATACAAGGTTGTGATATTTCTACATACTGTGATTTGCAAAAGATAAAGAGACGAAAAGTTGTAAAATAATTATGGAAATTACCAATGAAAGAGAATTTAAAATAGTGCGTATTGCAAGAGCACATGAAACTTTGAAAGTTGATAAGATTTGAGGGATTCTCTTACAGCACTTTCTTTTGGAGTATGATGTGCTTATGAGTGACTTACTAGAAAAAGAAATACTAGAATTGACAGCAGAATCAGGGTCATTCAAAGAAATGACATCCAGTAGATGAGTGAATTCGGGAGCTGTAGTCATAGAGACAATTTGAGATGCTGAAGGACGATCCACTGGCTGTGCTGCCCAACAGACAACCATTACATCAAGCACGTTACAAGGATATAACAATTCCTATAATGAAGCAAAAAACAATGTTCGAATATTGATATAATTAGTGAATGTATCAGGCATAGTGCAATATAAGTAACTTTCCAATGCACAGTTGTAAAATAATTATAGAAATTCTCAATTAAATAGAATTCAAAATAATCCAAAAAGCCAAAGTCGAATTACTTATTGATTTTTAGGCATGCTTAAAATAGAATAAATAAATGTTTTTGTAACTCGAACAAAAAATTCATTCTTAAAATTGTTATCAGTGAACATTAAGGGAAAAATAAACTTACGGAAGGAGTAAGTCTCGGTCGGCCACCATCCAGAACGTATTCCTTAAGTTGTTCATGGCCATCGAATGGTAATTTAAGACTGATCAGCTCGTACAAAAACATCGCAAATGAAAAGCAGTCCGCCTATACTACGTAACAAATTAAAAAACTTGAAAGACAAGATAAACAAAGATATAATTGATTTAAGCATTACTTTTTCCGTGTATTCTTGTTCTCCGTTGTATCGCATTATCTCTGGAGCCATAAAACCTTCCGTTCCACCGAATCCCTTAGCACCACCAGAAGGAAAAGAGCTTCGCGATATACCATAATCGCCCAATTTAACAAGAACATCCGTTATAGTACTAAATGGCGGCGGAAATCGCCATGTCAAAACATTTTCACATTTCAGGTCACGATAAATAATGCGGTGTTCGTGAAGATATTCCAAAGCTTTGGCTACCTGAAAATTACAAACATTATATAGTTTATTTTCAATTCAAATTTCAAAACAATCTAGCTATGTCTGTTGCAATACATTTCAAAGATTAAGCAGATCAATCAAATATATTCCGAAATCGTTAAAGAGGACCTGACTGGCAGTATCTTGAATGACACTTAGACGTAACCGAGCCCCGCTTCGCCTGTAATTGTTGAGGAGATGATTTAAGGCACCAAGAGGGGCTAATTCAACCAAAAGTGCCAAAGGTCGTGGGCATACACCCATCAGCGCAGTAATGTGAGAATGCTGAAGTGATGCTAGCACATTCAGTTCTTGTCGACATGTACAGTATGCACGACAAGCATTCTGCAGTGGATCTCGTTGCCATTTCGTATATGCTGCCTAAAAATCAAGCCTATTTAAAATAGTAAAAATAAAAAGAAAAAAAAGATATAGATAATCCAGAGATGGACAATTTCCAAATGCTACTACGATTTGAAACAATTTGAATATGTCTGAGCAACTTGCAGGAAATCTCCCATAAACAGACACAATTTTTGCAACTGTAAAGCTTAAGAAAAAAACCAACATTATCTTCTCTATATATGCATTATTACATACAATTTAGTGTAATAAACGTTTTACCTTATATGCTGAAACGGATGATACTCGAGCACCCAAACCTGGTTCCACTGGTTCTAACATTTTTAATGCAACATCTTGTGCATTCGCATCCTGAACATGTAGTAGCATCAAAAAGAGATTACACTATTTTAATCTTTTGATTCATAGAAAATCTTTTCATCCATTACTAGCAAAAAATCAGAATTAAGAATGCTTTAAATGCTTAAAAAAAGATGAAATACTATATCAACTATTATTTGTCAGCTCCATAATTATCGACTGATGACTTAACTTACCGAAATTTTGAGAGCAGCCTTAAACACAAAACCAAATGCACCGTGCCCGATCAATTTACCTCGCTTCACAGAATTAGGCTGAATGAGATAATCCTCATTGATATCTAAGAAGACAGTATCAGGCGCAATGTCTACAACAGATATGTCGAAGTGCAATGGGCATCTCAAATTGACTCCATCGTGGGCACTAAGGATACACTCCTCCACCATGAATGCATGTAATTTATGCTTTGGTGATGAATCACTAAAATGAGGTATCATTTATAAACAAACACTGAATGAACAAGAAGTAATATTTTTTTCATCGACGTCGAGTATTTGATCTAAAGCAGAAAGCAGTGACAGAAAGATTAGCAAATGGGCAAAAAACGGAAGGATAAACATGAACAAACATTTCATACATTATGAAACTTTACAATCAAGAAAAACTACCATATTATGTCGTCATTCTTCTTAACTTTAAAAAAAGCATCCAAATTTCGTGTACTGCTGGCACATTTGAGACATGGAACAAGACGATTTACAAGGAGACACCCCTCCGAAGTATGTACAAAACGTGTTCCCAATGACGGATACCTGAAATGTTTAAATAAGGAATCAAATCAATTCAGAAATCACTAAAATAACTCCAATTGAGTATTCGAAATTATCAAACGCAGGTAAATATATACCAATCTTCCAACAAAGTATCCATAATATCCACAATGAGAGCTAAGAGACGGGTCACTGCAGCACGGTTACTCCGAAGAACATATTCTTTTTCATCACTAACTAAATTTATCCTGAAATAAAGAAAAACCGTTCTGCATTTGTTTGATGTGGTAAGGCATTAGCAATCAAGTACTAAATACGAATGGAACCTGACTGCCGGAATGATAATTTCGATCAGCGAGGAACCACTTATATCTAACGTACGCCAATTACTATCCTCTGCACAACAACGCCATTCAACTGTTTCGTAATGAACGTCTCGCACCTCAGCAAGCGGCAAAAACTGTCGCATTACAAATATTGTTTTTTCAAATGCCAAGATCTGAAAACATGACGGTAATGATAAAAGTAGAGTAAGAAAAAAAAATATTTCAATTCAATTTTATACAATAGTATTTTGCAAATCTATTTTTTGATTAAGCGGGGGACACAAATGAATAAATGCTGCTCAGAAATATATGGAACATCTTTTACAGGATGAATACAAAGAATGACATTGAAATAGGATAGGAATAAATAATTTCCACCAAAACAATGAGTGAGGAGACCAAAACAGATGTAAAAGGAGATAAATGAATAATGAGATACACTGCATGGAAATCTCACCGCAAAGATTAAAAAAAAAATTAGGGAAAAAAGCACACCTCAAAACCAGTCTGCCAAAGTAGCCAATACGGAAGAAACTTCCTATCACAGAGTTCATTTAGTGTCTCTAACGAAGAATCTTCCGACAAATATTCAACTTCCAGTAAACGTTCCATGCACATTGTGATATGATCATCGACAAGTACCCGTGTCATTAGCCGTGACCAAAAGCCGGAAGGTATGTATGCCATCATATAGATCCGACGCACTACTTCCTACAATATTTTACTAAGTAAAAATATAATTGCAATGTATAAATCAGTGTCTTCCACATCAAGTTACTCTTCTGTACCTCTTGAACTTAACTAAGCCTATTTATTAAAGAAACAGTCCCAGAAACTACAAAATGCTAATATGTGCTTACTTGCTCCAAGTACTCCATATTTACAGTACATCTGTGCTCGTCAATTAAAGGAATTCCTTTATCACAACCAGACTCATTACGACCAACTGAAACTGATGCTGAAGATTTCTCGTGACTATTCAAAATAGTAGTTAGCGGTACTGTTGTTCGATATCGCTTACCACCCAAATTTCGTTGAGAAAATAGTGTCTGCATCTGCAGATGTGATGCTTTCATTATGAGGCTATTTTTTGCTTCTCGTTGCTTAACTGTCAATTGCCACGATGTAGTCCTTGTTGGCACCTTTAAGTTTTCTATGTTAGTTCATATTTCTATTTTTTGTAAACATAAACTTTCTATTTTTTTCTAAACATAAACTAAAAAGATGTATAAAAAGGATTACCCGAGGAAAAGCTATAATTATGAATTTATATCTCAATTATCATTCATACAAAATTAACTATTAGGCAGTGTTTTTCACAACACCGTAACTTTTAATTGAAGATTAATAGCAAATATATAGCAGGAATAAATTAAAAACATAAACTAAAAAGAAAAAGAGATATAAAAAGATGTATAAAAAGGATTACTAAAGGAGAGGAAAAGAAATAGTGCATTTAAAATTCTGTATAAATGTCATCATTATGAACAAGTAAGCGCTCACATATATGTATGAAAACTTATTTTATATACACTTTTGGAGTATTTTGAAAACTGATTTAAAAGATGAAAAAGGAAAGATGAAGGAAGGCGCTTGATTTATTTGTAAACGAAATAATGTATCTGATTTTACTTTAAATCAATGTCTTTCCAAATGCTCACAGAAATGAATATGTATCAATACACTACTAGAAGACTAAATAATGAGATCTATTTATATAAATTGCCCAGTACTTCTATAAGAAGTATCAAGTATCAATCGACATGTATTTTAGGAAAATAAGAATTACAGTCTTATTAAAAAAATATAGCAAATGTGAATTAAAAATTAACCAGAACTCTTGAACCTGGATAACCACCTCTTAATTGATATTCGTCAGGTAATAAAGAAGGGATCAGTAGTGAACGCGACTGCCAATAAAGTGCAACCTCAAATTTCTGCAGTAAGGATATAATGTGGGACCTGCAAATAATGTGATATCAAAATGTAGGTAGATACAAACTGAGTTTCAAACTACTAATAATCTGGTGTACCTTAGGTTAATAGCAGAGTTGTTCAAGTTGAGTGACTTGAATAACACTTGAAGATCGTCAATTTTCATAAGTCCATTGCGCGCAAACGGATTTATTTCTCGAATTGTTATCACATGAGCAAGGATGTCGCACAGCCATTGTGGATCCAAGAAATATAACTCTCTCAGAGTCACATCTTCATAATGCAGTATTACTCCTACAATAACCATAACACTTCATTAAACTTAATCATACTTTCTTTCATTAACACCAAGCTTAGCAAATCACCTTGTTCATATCTATACGAGTTTTATTTCCTGATTGAATTTATCTGAAGCACATAACACAACTGTTTTTTATTTCTATAACAATACCACTGCACTGGTTCTTTTTTGGATTTTTTGGATAAAATGTTTCAAAATAAAACCATTCTCGTGGAGAAATGAGCAGGCGTGGTTAAATTCGATGTCATCACGGAATGCACGACCGTAATTTTTCAGCATTCTTTCTTGAATAGTAGCGCGAAAATCACTATTTCTCATAACTGGTTCTATTCCTTTCGAACGTCGTTCATCTGCCAGTTCAACCACTATCTAATAAACAACTGCAGTGAGCTAGAAATAAATAGCCGAAATGAAAAATAATGAAAAGCAACTAAATAATGTGGAAAATGATTGACTAACGATTAATGCCTTAAGTGTTACGCAAAAAAAAAAGAACTATTTATCATGGAATAAATGATGGAAAAGTTGACACTATATTCAAATACATGAAAGTAACTTTTTCTAATGCCATATAAGAAGCTGGAATCTTCTGATCTAGGAGTCGTTCTTTGCTATTCGCCGTTCGAATATCATAAGCAGTATGATAAAGCAAATTACAAAGCGCACGAATATTCTGTTTCGTTTTTGATGAGACAAATAATGATTCGACAACTCGTGGTAAACCTTTTTTGTCTGCATCGGACACCATAACAAAATGATCTATAACTTCATCCTCATAAAATCATGAAAGAAAAAAAAAAGCTACAATCTTACTAAAGATTTATTTTGTTGCTATAGGATATGACAACTTTATGGAACATGGAAAATATTCAGAAGAAATGATGAGTGTTGAAACCATATAGCTGAAAAGTATTCAATCTGGAAAAATTTTAGCAAATACTCTCGAAGGAGCTGCATACTCCATATCGAAATTTATTGCATGTCCTCTAATAACACTTAATAAAAAAATGTTTAAAAATATCAAACCTCTGATGAGTGCATTCAAATCTTCCAGATAAGTAGGTGGAAAACGTTCAGAATTCGAAAAGATTTGATCAACATGGGTACCAACGATGATTACTGGGGAATTCGGTGCGCGAGCCTATAAACACTAAGATAGAATGAGACTTGAAAAGTATTAGATAATGGATGTAAAATAATAAAAGGACTATGTAAATGTAAAAGTAAAGCATTTACGAATTGTTACTATTCGGTTGTGTATAAAATGCCAAAACTAAGATTATTAATGAAGGAGATAAATAAAATATGAAATTTGATGACCTGTATATTAACGAGCCACTGACGCAAATCTGGCAATGCAGTCTCACCATCAGTTACCTTCCAAACCAATATATACAAAGAACGTCGTGATAAAAAATATTGATGAGTTGCATAGTATTCGCGTTGTCCACCAAAATCCCACGTACGAAATGTAAGCGGACCGAAAGTAGGTTCTCCTAAAAAATTTTGCTAGAAACTACTTATAAAATGAGAAATATGTGAAAAAGAAGCAAGACACTAATGTGTCAATAGTTTATGAAAGTGGGTAAGACGGAGTTTTTTTCTTTTTCTTTTTTTGTTATATTTGAATTCAAACAAACGCATTGGGCTTAGTATATCACATATTCCGACATTTTCGAACTTAGTACATAGGCTTCTACTATTCTGTCCTCTAACCTTTCGTCTTTTTTGGCTCAAAGGTCCATTCTCCGATGTCAACACCCACTGTGGAAATGTTGGCACCCTTTGCGGTACGATCTCCGCCGCTGCCTGTACTATGTCCCATTCTTTTTGACCAGCTCTGCAGTCGGTTTTAATGAATTTTTCACTTTCAGAGAGTTTTACATGGAAAACGAAAGTAAACAAATTAGTATGTAAGATAAGATACTAACTGCAGAATCAACACTATAGTAACCAGTTTAAAAAGTTCCAGAAAAAATAAAAATAAAACGGAAAATCAATCAATAGCACTATAAAACAACTACATCATTTGGTGATGTCCTTTTGCCCACAGTACCCTCTAGACGAATTTGTTGTAAAAGTGAGGTTTTTCCAATTCCTTGCACTCCAACGATCATCAATTTAAGCCGTGTATAAGGACGAGAACTGCAACAAGGATATGGATAGACGGTATTGAATGTCTAATATTCAAAGCTATAAAAGACCAACAAAAACTGTAAATACTTACTACCTTTATGCAATCATTTATAATAAGATGAAGAAAAATAAGAAAAGAAATAGCTGAAGTAATTAACAAAAATGACATACTCTTCCAAGACGGATTTTAGATATGCAATGAGATTAACAGTTTTGTAACTCTCTACATGCACCATGCTCTTCAGCGGATCTCGCAAAGAACAACCCTTCAAAATAAGATTCCAAAGTTTACCTGAAATAAGATTTCCTAATGCATGTGATAATCCCATGCAATAATAGCTCATGTAATAATGTAAGACTCAAAGGAAGTGACAACGAAATAATGAAACTTACTAAGAAGACCTAATTCTGGAGGCAGCATTTCAATGCCACTGTTTCCACTCAAGTTTAATACGGACAAAGACACCAAGTTGGACAATGCTGCAGGAACGTTCGACACGAAATTATTACTCACATCGAGAGTTGTGAGAGCAGGAAACAGTATCTGCCTCCTAGCCTGTAAGATTTTCAAAACAAATGAAAATTATTTATTCTGACATGAGAAAACAGTAATATGTTTTGCCAATTCTACATTAACTATTAACATATGAAAAACAAACTGTACCGCAGAACATCTCTGCCGGCTTTCACGCTGCTTCTTTTTTGGGGATGAAATGATCTTCGAACTGGGAACAAGAAGAGGAATTTCCGTAAGACGATTGTTAGCTACCAGAAATGTGCGCAATGATTCTAATCTCGTGTGCTGCTTATGAGAACAAGCATCAATGAATGTATCACATAATGTATCGCCAGCTGGAGCAACACTTAACGAACGCTGACTACGAACTGCTGATTTTGAGCGAGATCCTAAAACACTGAATTTACGGCAGAGAAAATAAGCTTAGGAAAAACAACTTTGATGAAAATATATCAATAATTTTGAATAGTTTTGATGAAAATATATCAATAATCGAGAATACCAGAACCATCGATTAGCAGAAATCGAAAAAACAGGAAATTCAACCCACGTTTGGTTCACACCAAAAATGCATCAATTATTTCATCAAAAAAGTTTAAAGATCATGAAACTTACGTGAATTACGTAAAGGACTTGTATGTCTCATTGGTGAGATTTCATTTGATGAAGTGTTAACTGCGTGACACACTAACTGCACAGCAGTTGGACGCTCGAAAGCAGTAACAAGCTGATTGTTAGAAGCATCTAAGTGTCTTAATCGAGAAGGTAAACACTGCACTGGACCAAGAGATGTCAATTGATTGTGCGATATATTGAGTCTTGTTAAATACGGACAACAACATGCCAAGCACGACGGCATCACTTTGATCTATACGTAAATAAGTAAAAGCTAAGAAGTGTAATGCTCCTTCCTTTAAATCTGCTAATATTTGTACTTAATGCATGATCAGAGTAAATTTTTTCTTCAAATAATCAGAAATAAAAATGACTGCAGATTTAGCATAAAATGGAAGCTATAAAACGCATACATTATTATGCGACACATTGAAAACAGAAATCATGGAAGAGAAAAACATAGGCCCATTTTCGGTATCTGATTCCTCCGATCGAGCTAGTCGAATGCTCGTCTGCCATATGTTATGCCTGAAGATGAATAAAAATCATCTAAACATTCCATGGATCAAACAAAATCACATGCAGTAAGTTTTTTTTTTTTTTTATAGCAGAATGTAGAAGAAATTAATCATCAAAGGACCTTTTTAGTTCATGAATAGTAATGTTGGAGTCATCATTGCGTCCTCCAATACTCAAAGAGTCATCCGTTGATAAGTTGCTTTGATGAGTATACAAATCCGAATAGAGTGATTCTGGCTGCTCAGTTTCAGAAAGACTACTCGAAGGTCGAAACTGTAAAAAACCAATTGCCGGCAACACGGAAAGAATATTGTTGGATACATTTAGTTCTCGCAATCTCGATGCAGACCACAGAGTCTCCGGAAGAGAACATAGTTTGTTATGCGACACATCCAGAAAATTCAGCATTGATAGTTTGTTTGTGAACAGCTGAAAATAAAAAGTGTATCATTCTTTTTTCCTTTTTTGCTCCTTTTCAAGAGGAAACTGAAGATCATTTTTAAAGGCAGTCTAAAATACTGCTGTATTTCTTCGTCAAAATGTGAAGTTCTGTAGAAATAAAAAATAGGAATGTAAAATAATAGACAAATTTAACCAGTTATTCAAAAAAAAAATACTTCATCCGGTAGAACAGACAATTTGTTAAATTCCAGTAGCAAGCTTTCTAAGAGCGGAGCATGAAACCCATCGCTAGGAACCTCAATTTCCGTAATTTCATTATTCGCTGCATTCAGACTTCTTAATGAAGGCAGTTGTAGTAGTTGTCCACTTAATATCTTCATTTTATTCTTCGACAAATCGATTCGTGTAAGAGCTGCTAACGCCATTCTGCAAATTTCACAGATTCAGCTATAATTTGTTTTTAATTACGGGAGCTTCATGCAAAGCCGAAATTTAAACTTCGACTAATCAATAACTGTATTTGATGATAAAGAATAATTCACCGTGATGTCCTCAGCCTCTGATTTACTTGCAGAGATGCGGCAATTAGCCAATCGTTCGAAACAGCCTCTAAGCTTGCATTATGCCAGTTCAGCATGCAAGGTGTTGTGGGATAAACAGCTGAAGATAGTTGATTACGATTTGATGACATCTGTCCCAAATCTATATTCTTCTTATTGACACGGTATTCCGGATCCACGAATGCAAGACGTAACAGAAATAGCCTCGCCAATGAATCCCGATTATACTGAAATAAAACATGAAGAAAGGAAATTTTCAATAGAAAAGATAAAAATTATACTTTGAAGGCTGTAGCGAGTGCAACGTTCTCGTGGTCAACAGCTCCTCGCTGCAGCAAAAACTGAACCAAAGAGACGCAACCAATTCGACATGCTTCATTAAGAGCACCAGAACCAATACATCGAGCACCATCTACACTACTGATATCTGCTTCTGTGAGTCCACAAGGTAGATTTACATCTGCTCCATGATCCACTAGTAGTCTGAAAACTGTTATTTCAGCAATAATCATTTCTTTCGTCATCCATATTACTTATATCTTATAAAGTTATTATTTTTGGAAACAATAAATGGTGGAATCAAAATGTCATTACTACTGATTACTCCTTGATGAATAGTACTGAGACCACTGAATTAGAATGTCTTATCCTACATTCAAATACAAAATACTTTGCGACTCTAAGGAAAGGGATGAGTACCTTAGCAACGATCATAGAAATATGACAGATCTATCAGAATAGTTTCTGGACATTAATTAATGAAATCAATTATTGTGAAAAACATGGTAAGCTTAAGTGTAAATGAATATGGTGATTCTACTCTAAACAATGATAGACAAGCACTCAGAATATTATAACCTTTTAACTTTTTTATGATCAGAGATATTAGAATTAAATTGAACATCAAAGTCAGAATTTATTCTATAAGATACAATAAGTGGAATACATACTTCACTAAAGCTATGTCACCGTTTGCTGCGGCCACCATAAGTGGAGTTTTCCCACCACTGCAGTATACATCAATTTCAAATGGGCATTTCTGATCAATGTCCATCGATGGAAATTCTACCTAAAAGAAAAAGTTAACAAACGAAGTATAGAAACGTTTAAAAAATATCAATTTCATTACAAGAAAAGTTCTTAGGCAAGAAGTTTTCTGATACTATATCAAATACTAACCTCAAGCAAATACTTGACAATATCATAATAAGAATTAGCGACCGCAAGGTATAGAGCAGTACGACAATGTGCATCCAGTCCGTTAACGTCTAATACGAAACGATAGCTGAAACGTCCAGAAATATCTTCAATTTTTGTGAGAACATCTTCCTCGTATGGAAATTCTAGCAACCTGAATAAGTAAGAAAATTATCCAAAAAAAAAAAAAAAAAAAAAACATCAGAATGATGACACCACGAAAACAATAAGTGTGAATTTACAAATCATATTTTCCCGGCCTTTTACAGTCTCCCTCAATAAAATCCTACCTTATTAAATTTCGCAAGCAAAAACTATCCTATTCTAATCCCATTCCCTATCGTAAAATCATCACATTATGCACATTTCTGTGATAATTCTGAAAAGAAACATACAGCTTAACGATATCTAAACTGCCACACTGTGATGCACAATGCAATGCTGTACTACCGTCCGCATTCTTTGCAGTCACCAAATGTGTAAAAGCCTGAAACATCTATATCAGCAATAGAACATATGAACTATCTGTAAATGTAACAAGAAAATATAAAGACAAACCTTAAGAATCATTTCTACGATGATCGCTTTTTGGGATGATATGGCAGCATGTAACACTGTGTCGTGAGTATTTGGCTGTATAAGTGTATGACCTCGAACGTTCAGTAAAGCCTCAACAACTTCTTTTCTTCCATTTAAGCAAGCCCTAAACAAAAATTAACATTGTTGAAAAAAACTTAAATAATTTAGAAAACATTTTCATTTATAAACAAAGAAAACTTGTAATTCCCAAAAAATCATTTTCTTATCACTACTAAATATTAAATTCATTATTCATGATTGATGATGCTTTTTCATACGTCGATTTTGGGATCTATTTCCAACATATATGTCTATGCTTAACATTTGAATATTCATGCAAAAATGTTTTCTAGTACATATTCAATATACATCATGCTAATGACTTATTGTTTACTATTTAATTCATGCTTATGGAAATTATGCTTAAAAAATTAGAATGACTTCTTCAAGTTCAAAATGGTCATGTAATGACAAAAGTAATATAAAGCATTAAACTATTTCTCAATTCATTTTCATAATTCGAGTTGAAGACAAAAAGGAAGTAAAAAATAACTGAGAACAGTTATAAAAATTTTCAATCAACATAAATTCTGATCAGTTCAGTTGTCAACCAGGCTAACTTATTTATGACTATATAACATTTGATGCAAACTGAATAGATGGAAAGGATCGATAAGTGAGTGCTTTGTGAACTACCTTGCAATTAAAAAAATTGGTCTTTCTAAAATGTATTCAATTCAAGCAATAACAACGAACTACTCAATTCATGCCATATCGTGCGACGAAAATTAGTTTGTTCACAGTTAACGACACTGGTGTTTAAATAAAGAAGCATTCTTCGTTCAATTCTTCACAGTGGTAAACCATACATCTAAGAAGTATGTTCAGTAGGTCAATGAGACACACAGAAAGAACTATAGAGAGTTGCCAATAGAAAGGAGGCAATTCATTTTCATGAAAATGCGCAACTACTTGTTTTTCCTTTACATCAAAAGCTGGATGAAATGGGGTATAAAGTTTTTGCTTCACTGATGACCAAAATAACAATGCTCCCAATAAAATTATATCCCCATTTGAAGAGGAGAAAAGACATTTCACCATTTCAAGCATTATGCGTGATTTAATAAAGCAAAATTAATTCACAGTTGGCGGAAAAATTTCTAATAAAATGATCAATTTTAAATAAAAGTGAATAGATCTCTCGATGCAATGTCATGCAATTAAGGTAGAGAACGAGAGTAATGTAAGAAGAAACATACAGGTGTAGAACACATTTGCGATCCAATGTCGCACCGTTCAGGACAGCATCATAGTTGGCACTAGTAAGATTCGGCAAAGTTTCAATAACAGTTCTAATATCTCCTTCTTCCGCAGATTTGACGAGATCATCATGCAACTGACGAGTTTTATTGCGAACTGATTCTGAACAAAAAATCATAGAAAATGGTAAACGAAATGACTTATGATAGGTTCTATGACTTTCAATCGAACTTAGACTAATTTACTAAAATAACTAAGCATTAAAATCTCTCTAATTTCTTAAGACCATCATAAAAATTTCGAATGGATACCAAGCCGCAAGAAATATTCTTAGTAATTCTTACCAAAATTTATCCATTACAACAACATTAATGATTAAAATAAAGCCTGGAAAAAATACCAACTAGCTTTTTCCGGAAGAAACCATTCTGCAAACACCTACATATCTCTTCTAGAGAGAAAACAACAAACTAAGTATACTCCAAATTTTCTTCCTGTCATTCTTTATGATTCCTTCTATTTATCTGATCCTAAATGCTGATATACCCTAGACAGGAATTAAACATCTACATTGTAATAATTTGATCAAACAAACCGATAGCATCGATGAGAAGACAAGCAGTTTCGAATTGGTTCGCCATTTGCGCTAATTCTAATGCGCAATGGTCTCTAAGATCAGTAGCCAAAAGCTCTGCTCCGGCTTCAATTAAATGACGCACCGCTTCTAAACGTCCCGCAACTGCGGCAACGTGTAAAGGAGTAGCACACAGTGCACTTGGACCAGCCATACTATTTACGTCCGCTATAAATAACTAATTGAAAACAGAACAAATACATTCACATTGAAACATCATTTATTACAAAATGGAATACATCCTTTTGAATGACTGAGAAGAGAATCGTACAGAAGCTATGAGCAAACGATTGCTTTAACAAATAATTAAACAAAATTCTCTACCACCAGCTTCTATTAGAAGATCCAAGATAGGTAAGTTGCCATTTTGGGCAGCAATATGCAAAGCACTTCTACCATGCTTATCTCTATAATATACCTTCCCTGGATTGGCTTCCAATAGCTCTCGAAGAAGTTCTTCGTTCTCATACATCACAGCCTGAAAGACAACTTTAAATGAGTTTCAGCCACATTAAAAAAAAACCTTTTTCCAAACCATCAATATGTGACAAATTAATTTCAATATGTGAAAATTAAGTATGTGACACAAAATTAATTCCAACAAATAAAAAAAAAAGAAAAAAAAACTATAAAATAAAGACAAGGAAAAAAGTCTTTTACAGACACTTAGCAAAATAAATTATTTTGGATAATTCTCTGAATTATTCGAATTTAAAAAAAAAGATAATAATTCTAGTGAACTAGGAACAACTTAATTTCAAGATAATGAAAATGGCATATCTGAAATAAGAAAATATAATAGAAAAAAAAAAAAACCTCACTTCATAGACTAGTTGGCCAGTTTCTTCTGGACTTGATTTCTCATCCATAAGTTCTATAAAAATTTCAGAATAACATCACTAAGTGCCTAATATGAGCGGAATAATAAGCAATGGAAGAGTCAGCCAAATATGCAGCAATTACAATTATATCATCCAAAATAGTGATCAGCTATTTGCTATTTGTAAAAAGAGAGTCCATTTTATGTTGCGACCAATTTGGCTCCAGTACTATCGATTCTTCGACGCATCATTGTTACCGCTCCTGCAACACACCAACCAACCGCATTAATAGGCTTAGCCATCATTATAATTGCTCTCATATAATTTGCCTTCATTATAATTTCTTTCAAGGTTTGGGTTAACTCTTAAGATTTAAAGATATGTGTAATTGCTAGTATCCGTACATCCATAATAAATAATCCCCTCAAACATGCCTTCAGGATCGGTATTTCTTACAGTTTTCCGATTTAACATATGTTGGACATTTCCCGTCCAATTGAGAAACATAAGTCAGCAAAACCTACTATCAGAGTGTAATTACATGGAGAAATTCCATGTACAAAACTGCATATGGAAGTCGAACTTCCACATTTACTCAAATGCTTGAAAAGTTTCGATTTGAACTATCAGTACCATTTTGTAAAGCGCTTCTATGGCACGACCCTTAGCATGTCATAAAAAATGTTGCGTTCTCCCTACTGGATATCATGAAAAATGTTTTTGATAACGAATCGAAGATCGATTGGATGATTTCCTATCAATAAAACAAAATACAACAGATATATTAATATGCGGAAATGATCAGCAAAAAAAGAAAAAGAAGAGTGGGACAACAAGTAGTTGATTTATTACCATGGAATAGCATCTCAGTAAGGAAAATTCGTATCAAAAAAGAAAATAAACAACAACTACACATTCTTGTATCCTGTTATTTGATTTATGTGGTTCTCCCTGATATTTTGAAAAAAATGAAAATAATACTAGAAGAACTGTAGAACACAGGTATAATATGTCTTTCAACCATTCAAGATTCGGTTAGAAATAAGGCTAATTGACTGAATTACAAATGTAAGAAAACGAGTTATTTTATTAGTTCATTTCAACATCAGCGTTGAGATCAAGGTCATCCAACATTTCATGTAATGAAGGACCCGGTGGCAAATCTGATGCGATGTCTTTAGAATAAGCTGCTTGTTGTTTGGCATTATCCCGATAAATGTTGATCTTCTGCCTCATCTGCTCATCTTCCTCCAAATCTTCCAGAAAGTTCTGCAATACAATGGATCATCTAGCTAAAAACAATGAGTTTCGCTTCTCGCGAATAAAAACAATGATGAAGATACTTTGCAAAAGATATAACTTCTTCTAATAGAAACGTTAATACACATACCTCAAATTCGTTCTCCATAGAAGAGCTGTCATAAACATCACCATCATTTTGAATCAGTCGTTTTAATTTCCAATTACGTCGTTCTTGTCGTATAGACCGATCGTAAACTTTTCGAACTAAGATGATATCAGCTATCCTATCCGTTCTCATATCATCTAGCAACGCACTGTTTACGTTGCTACTGCGTAAATCGTACCCTTCAATTAGAATAAAAATTTTTTTTTTCTTTTCAAACTAATAACAAAGAAAAACAAGCAAAACTGGATTAGAAAATTAAAGAAAGAAAGATAAAGGGTTGAACGAAGATTTTACCTAATACAAGGTCACCTGGTTTTAACAAATGTCCAAGATGAGACCGCGTGCAGACTTCTTGATTTTCTTGTCCAATCTGCAAGAAATAAATTTCAAGTTATTATTGTTATTACTGGGAGCACATTAAATTATTAGCATCGTCAAGTTTACTTTAGTTTTACAATCAGTGAATAATGCTAAGGCAAATAAAAATGAACTCTCAATGGAATGGGAGTTGTAACAGAATATATAGAAGTTTTCGCATACCTGATTACTAGGAACTACCCAGATATCGGCTAAACGATGTTTCGTTGACAAATGGCTACATCCTGCAGTCAACTGAATAAAATCAATATCCTCTACGTCCACTACATAAAACTGGTTCAACCGCTTCGATTGACATAAAGTTTGAAAAGGATCACGCCAATATTGAGTCCTAAAAAATAACTGTATTCCTGAAGATCCTGACTCAAAAATCATAAAATTCAAGAAATTTCAACTGACTTTTTTTATCACTATCACTGCATTGCAAAGAAATATATATCAAGAAAAGAAGAAAAAAACTTTTTTTTTTAACTAACGCATTAATATCTGCCATTTGCAAAGTGCTTGGATCAATCACAGTGATAACTGTGTTCACTCTTAAGCATACAACGAGCTGATTCATGTTACCCAAAGCTTGAGCTGTCTTCTTCGGTAGACACACTAAATCACCGCGACATATCGGTACGACTTCTACACAGAAAGTGTGCTTATAGTCATAAATATTACTCTTAGCATCATGTGTCACCAGTTCCTAAAATTCAGACAATTTAATACCATCCCCTTTGCATATTTTATACAAAATACTAATTTCTGACTAATAATACATTACATCACGACTATTCAGGATAAATTGTTATAACTCATATCGTTAACCAGTAAACAGTAATAAGAATTGCGGACAGTCCATCGCGCAGATAAAGAACAAATACCTCGACACTTAGTTCGTTTTTAGTTCATCAAAAGTCTCCTAATGGCTCTCAAAGTGGAATTAAAACAGCAGAACCTTAAAACTGGAACTGAGAAAAATGATTTAAAAAAAAAAAAAGCAAAATGTTCATACCTGAGCATATGAATATCTACAGGGCAAATGAGAGGTGATGAAATCAATGAATTTCCTGGCGTCCTGCAATTTTGCATAAAAGAAATCGACTCCTGTAGGTACAGGTTTGATAGTCGTTGTGTTAAGATGGGCACTATGTTTCAGGACTAGTTGTTCCAAATAAAATAACGTCTTTTTAAATTCACACTTCTGACGAACTTGAACACAGGCACGCCAGAAATCTTTTGCTTCGGCACGTCGACAGTCATCACACATCTAAACAAACAGGAAGGCGACTAATGTTTGTCATTCAGTACATATTATATATAATTAAATCATTTCAGAACATGATGTTGATTTAAACAGCTGCTTGTTATATAACTCAAAATAGCTTCATATTTTAAAGAGTATACAGCCTATGGATTTGATGTGATGAGCGAGAATCACTATCACATTCTTAACATAATTTGATATTTATGATAGCAACATAGAAATTCCTGAAGTTAGGAATAAAAAGCAGAGATTACTACATAATGGCGTCCGTTCATGATGATGAAAGCAACTAGCAGTAAGATATACCTGATTCATAACAATAAATTCCACGATGAAAACTTGTTGGAGGACTGCGCCCGTCAATACTTCTTTCTGGATAGTCAGCTTGAGTTTCACTCTTTTCGAATGTGGTTCTGTCCATAAAAAGGAAGCATCAGTAAGGCGAACCTAAAAAATACAAATAAATGCTTCCATATATCTATATTTTAATAAATTCAGATTCAATAGGATAGGTAAAACCTTAGTCATTGTTGGCTTTAGCTTTTTCAGCAATATGGAAAGCAGTTCCTTTGACTCTCGCTCTGCATGTAACCATCCATTCGGTGGTATCAACCATCGGTTGCAGAACTTACACATAAAAGCTCGATCTGAAAGAAGTGCAAGAATAAAACACAGAACCATAAGAATACCAAACAAATAAATAGCAGTTAGCAATGTTTTCCAGGGTTAAGTTCGAGCAACCACTAGCTTCACTTGTATGATATTTAACCGTGCCACAAACTTTACATTGTTTCGGTATTCCTTCTGTAATATCAATACGAGATCGCACACATGCGATGCACATATTCATCGCATTTGGTTCAATCGACGCACCACACTGACAACACAAAATTTTCCCACTTCCTCCTTCTTCCATACATAGCGTTTCCATTTTTCCGTGCTGAAATATATCATTCACATTTATGAATCAAACGTCGTTACTATCATACAATTTCATCAAATCATCGTAAACTTCAAAATCCACTAATCTGATGCTCCTAACAATTTAATACATGATTTAATTTTGATTTTTTATAACTTGCAATAACAATTTTGTCTCTGTCAGTTTACTTCTTTCACAAAGTTTTCTTTATCTTCGATTTCTTTTCATCCGAAATAAACAGTTGCTACATTCAAAAAGCTTTTTCTCTTTCCTTCTGTTCCATTCTATACACAACTTTTCCTCGAAGTCTTATATATAAATTATGTTCAATAATCAAAAAGTGTGAACAGTTCAATTCAGACAGTTGTTCAATGCAGTTTAGTTCTTAAACTGTGACATAGAAACAATATCTCTTAGACATGAATCATCTTTTTTCATAACGCCCAATCACAGCAGTAACACAGCGATTTGAAAGAAATCTTAACAAACCTTACTCGAAGATTGGATTCATCTCAAGTCTGCTAAAGTTAAAGAAGTCGCGGTGGATGACGATGTAATAGTATGTGTCACGTTGTTTTCATCCAAATGAAAATTTTGAGTTTCAGGTGTTGTACTTTGAAAACAACGGTAGAATACTCGTTCATGGGGACAATTAAAGATTATCAATTTTATTAAGTATGCTTCATTAATTTTTGTTCTCATTTCTTGAGGCAATGCAATGAAAGTATGAATTTAAATATAATTTGCTTTGTAAAGCTTAAATGTGAATTAGAAAATGCTATGGTAGATATGTTGAAGAAGGGAATTAGCCTAACTGGATGCATATTTTGCTATTACAGTGCAAGCAAAAGAAAAAAAACCTTCGAATAGTGAAATTTTTTTTCGTACAATTTGCGAAAGAAAAAAAATTTAATTAATCTATTTGTTTGTTGTATACAGGCTACAAAGGCTAGAAAGATGTTATTTCAAAAATGTTTTTGTTGATTGCTGAGATACACTTCACTTCTTATTCATCAATCTTCACCTCCCTAAGGGAGCTATTTTAGTGATTCATGTGAATTAATATAAATTTTAATTTTTAATAGGTATCTACTAGATGTGACATATCTACAATGATTCTGTGAAGTTTCTCTTTTTAGTTTAACGTTGATAGTAACACTTAATTGGGAGATATGGGATGGTCATGGAACATTTCGTACAAGTCATATATCTAGCTGTTCCTCAGAATTTAATATGATATAATCATGGAATTGAGGATCCGCTAAATAGTTAAATCGGAAACTTCATAGATTTTTCAGTTCTCTAATACTAAGACAAAGAACGATATCTTAAGAAACCTTTGAACTCTTAACCTTAAAACCTTTGAATTCAAAAGCTTTCAGTGGTAGAAGATACTATAATGAATCAGACTTTTAGACATATAATATCATGCTGTAACCTTCTTAAGTCACTGCATTTAAATATTTACCTAATTCAGCAATTCAAAGCCACCTTTCTTCTAATCGTAGTACACATTTTAACCACATGTTAATAGTATACGGATGAAACAACAATTTGTCAACGATGAGTCATAATCATTATGAGACTTAGTAAGTAACAAAACTAACGTATTTGTGCTTCTAATCGTAGTCCGATTATTTACTATGAATTCTTATTGCAGTTTTTACCCTGATACATACATGATTATTCAAAACTCCACTTATGTTATCCAGTTGTTTTGTCGAGTAACGAAATGTTATGATACAGAAATACATCTAAACTCGTTTTTATGTGCAAAAACTTCTACTATATAAGAATTAGAGTTATTAGTATCCATTCCGTCTTCCTGAACATATCCGGTCAGCAGTACTTTTCGATTTGGTTTAATTTAGCACTACCTCTATATCGTACGAGAAATCGTAATTACAGTTGAAGTCAGATTCCTGATAAATTTTTTTCCTACCGATAACAATAGTGATCAACTTTACCCTGATGCACTAATAATTTTCTTACAACATATACCAGAATACAAGGAGAACCAGTATTCGAACTTCTTTGCATAATGACTGTGAATGATTGATTATATGAGAAATTACGACTTTATTTGGAGTGCAAAATAAAGCATCAGAAGAGATCATACGTTGAATTCACAAATGCACAATAGTATAAAGATATAGGAATGATGACAGCAGTGAAAAACGAATGTTTACTCCCATTCACTATTACAATTTATATAGAATTTTAAATAGTGAGGATGAAGGATGGCGATACCTTGTAACTGTTTGTTTCGAGTGGTTAGTAACTAAAACTAATTATTCAAAGAAGGAAACACAGACTACAGATTAGGTACAGATATGGAGTGGATTAGATCTCCTATCTTCAGCAGGGTTTTCTGATCTCGAAATAGAAGTATCAATGGATTCTGAGTTACAGTCTTTTACGCAAAACATTCTGCAAAATGCTAATTTCGTCCTGCGTTTTAGTAATGACCAAGTGACACCCATAACCAAGAACGAGATCACTGCATTTACTAGAACGATAACTCCCTGCATGCACATTACAGCCATCTGATATTTCGTTCGATTTCCGAAACTCTGTAATTACTATTGCTAAAATATATGGTCCTGCATTGGAAGAGATATCTTTCTTTTCCATCCAAAAGCACTTTTTTTTTTTTATCGAGCGTATCATTAAACAGAAAGTGACATTGATAAAAAAAAGGACAATTACCAAAGCAGACATAGCGTAGTGTGAGATGACAGCAAAACAAATACCCATCCACCAGGTGTTCGTAGTACCTTTCTTATGACACCCATCCCAGAATATGACTGTCCAGAAGACATGACACAATGTGACCATGCATGCTGATATAGAATATGTTATCTGCAAAATTAGAACTCACTATATTAATTAAAATTAAAAATGAAATGTTCTCCGAATTTTTCACATTTACTTTCATATAAAAATCCGCTATGAATATTATCTAGCATCTCTTCCTTCTTCCTTTACTTTCCGAGGCCATTTAGTATTATCATGGATGATAAATTTTTTTTTAGGAAAACGTACAGGGAAATATTGATCATTTGGGAGAAGTTTGACTGTGAAACGATCTGATACATACGGTACAGTAGCTGGTAAACCTACAGTACCATGACCCCAAAAATCAGCGATCACATTGATAATGAGAAATAAAGCTGCCATCATGCCCATTCCTAAGCCACACACTGTGGCCAAAATATGACGAGCATGTCGCAGAGAATGCATACCAGTTATTCTTTGGCCAGCAGTTGACATATGGTTCAGACCCCTGAAGAAGTATAATTATCTTCAGGAACAGTCTCCAACAAGTATTTTTAATGAAATTAGTTCACATTTATTGTAAATATGATTCAACTTACATATTAAATGTAGGTTCGAAAGAGAAGAGAATTATCTACAATAAGTGAAGATCAATAAGTCTAAATGTTGGATGAATATTAAGATGTTTTATCTATATAAAAGAAAATAGTAAGTAAGTAGGTGCTGTTTTTATATGAAATTACCAGAATTATCACTTTTGTGCCTTTTTTAAAAGGATGAAATGAAGAAGTCTGGCTCCTTCCTGTAATGCGATTGAAATAGCTACCGCAAAAACCAGATACTCCCTGAGAGGTACTATTACAAACCATATACATGCTGATAGTAATAACGATAACAGCCAAAAGAATGCACTAGAAAACGAAATAAGTACATTAACTGAAATGTAATCAAACACACTGTTAGTCAACATGTAATGCTAGAAATAAAAGATAAATATCAATATTTTGGATGAATTGATTTCTCTCACACAAGATTTAACAACCATATAGTGATTGTAACGGTTGTTCAACTGAATGAATATTATAACGTATATATAATCAATAATTACCGAGAACTTAAAACATACCCCAAAACAAATAGTATTATTCGCAAAGGATCACTGGCAATTACCCGTCGGAAAATAACAACTGAAGGTGAAAATGCGATGAACAAATATCCAATACCCGCTAGTACCGCCATCCACGTCCTGAATTAGATTGCTCTAATTGAGCTTTCGCCACTGTTTGTAGCAAAATCATGACAGAATTCATAAAATTTCATATTTTTTTATATTTTTAAAGTTTGTAACTAGTTCACTAATAGTTCATTGTAAAATTCATAACTACTTCATTGAGCAGTAAAAAAGATGAGCGTAAATATGTGATGAATTCACCGCACGTTTATGCAACAGCGGTCTCCACAGTACTTGCATATTTATCGATCCGGAAATATGACTCAGATTGGATGAAAACTAAGCAGTGGGAAAAAAAAGAAGAAATATTAAGGTTATTGAAGTTTTGACTGGAAGAGCAATAAAGATATGATGTTAGTATATTTATTCGATACCAGTGAAATATTCTCAACTGATGATAGTGTTTATAAAAGAAGAGTTTCTCGCTCAAACAATTATAGATATAATTCGCTGAAATTATTTATTCTGCACATTAAATAATCAAAATATTGCACAAGTCACACCCAGGTAATGAGTGAGGACCGAATTCATTAACACTTATTTGGGTCAAAGACATATATATGGGATTGTCAACCAACAATCCGACTCCCTTAACTGCTAAACAATGTGTCCATGCCTAACAATGTTAAAACTATAAACAAATGAGAAATCTTGATGATAAAGGAAATAAATATCACAGTACTATATACACATCCATTTAGGTAACATCGAATACTGTATACATATTCTACCAATAAAAGAAAGTTGATAACTGTCGTATGTCAGAACTGCCAATCAGTTGACAGTTGACTCTCTTTTCGGCATTTTGTTTTTACATGTAAGTTTTTCACTTGTTGTACAAATGGAGTTCAATGTTTACATCTATTAAACAAAAGATAAAGTGGCACCCGAAGAAATTTAACGATTCAAAAATGCTTTGACCTAATTCACTTTAGCATAGGATGGAGGTGAAAACCGTCTTCTAAGTGCCTTGATGATATAAAGTGGAAAACATGAAATTGCTGTTATTGCTGTTGTCTTTGACAAAAAAATCCATGTTGTAACAAACTGGCGGTCAAAGAAATTATCCAGTACAAGTAGGGATCCCGCATATAAGCTCAACGAAAGGGCCTAAAAAATAATATAAGGAGTAATTATTAGTATCCCAAAACTGAAGCTCTCTGTTATCATTTGTTGGAAATCGAGTATACTTCACAAGTAGACAGTTAAATTTTTAATCCTCATTGCAGCAAAATAAGCAAAAGATGAACTGCAATAAAATATTTTGTTTTGCTTGCAAGAAAACAAACATAAACCTGAGCGAGAAGCATGGCCCAATGCCAGGTATGTATGGTAAGTGCAACCATAATCAATTCAGTGACGATTAATGCGGTGAAACTGATAGATACAATATGAATGAAGTCGGAATCGAATACAAGCAATGCGCCATACATAATTGCTGATCCTGAACAATCATTATTTATATACTCGTAAATAAATAATGCAAGTCTTTAGTGAAGGAATATCATTTCTTTCATTAAAAATCTGACCTTGATAAATACTTATAAGAATCCATATACAGAAAGTTTTGTAGGAAAGAGAACGTCCTTTGCCAAGCTCTTTATAAAGCTCAGGATAAGTTAAAGCATTCAAAGCAGTAACATCTCGATCGACTACCAGCGAAAATACCGGTAGCATTGTATACACAGTCGAATATCTGCAAAAGGGATTACTTCAAAGAACAGCAAACTGATCAAAAGGGCTTCCGAAAGTCTACACCAAAAGAACAATCAGCATTACTGACAATGATAAGAAAAATTTATCATACCTAAACAACATCTTGAAGGTTGCAAGGTATTTTATTACAAAAAGATTACTGAAAATCCGCATTTAAGAGTATAGACAAATCGAAATGATATTATAAAACTAAGAAAATAAAAAATCAACTCACGCAACCATAAGTACACCTTGATACAACGAAACAGAAGCAAAATAAAATACGCAAGAGAAAATGGCCTGCATAATCGATATAATGAGACCTGGAAAAACCGCTATTTTAGGAATTCAGTGGCAAGAAAAATATAAACAGTACCTGGACTTACCTCTATGCATGACGAATTGAGAGAGTGCACAGGAACGCTTATAACAATAACGTCCATGAACAAGCAATAAGCGGCAGATATGAGCAAATTGAGGGATAGAAAAGTCAGCTGCCAAAGATGCTTGCTTTCCTAAAAATAAACGTATATGGAAAAATAGGGAAAAACATGAGATGAAAGAAACAGAAATGAGCAATTGATATTGTCGTGACATGCTTCATTTCTTATTGTAACAAAAATTATTTTTATTGGAAATCCGCATCCTAGATAGTCCGCTTGTTCCTTGGCTATGTATGACTAGAAAGGTTACACATCTTCATCCGTCATCCTTTAGTCGCTTTTTATTCGGAAACTTATTACAGAATGTTTCACGAAACTTACTTGAAATTAAAGTGATTTTATTCAGTAATAAAATAAAGTAGTTATTCTCAAAAATAAGTGAGATATACAATTTGTATGATGTAGAAACTCATTAGCCTAGCGAATCTTTCTAATTCTGTGCTTTTAATATTCAGAGACCTTCATGAGCGTCAATTCCAATCCCAGCATGTGCTGCTTGAATCATAGACACATCATTACCACCATCGCCAATAGCAGCCACTCGTAAAGGGGAACGATACTTCCGAAGCAAATTTACCAGTTGAGCTTTCTGCTCTGGTGAGCATCTACAGCATACCACAGCCGTGCAACCACAAACCTGGTTACTTGACAAATTATATACATATATACAAAATATATATATATATATATATTAGGTAGACTGGATCATCAAAAAATCCAAAACAACAACTCCATCAATCTTATTATAATAAGAATATTTCGGATAAAAATGAATTTGAGATAATCACGCTTCACACATTTTTTAAGAGGAAAAATAGAATGATGCCGTAAATTCCTCTTTAAGGAAAGAGGGAAGACTATAAACTAACAAAACATTGAAAAGATATAAAGTAAAAAAGAAGAAACGTACGAGTTCCGCCACTTCAGCCTCATAATACTGCAAACATACGTTAAGGGCAGATCCAGAAAGAACTAATGCCACATCGTTTTTCCTGCAAGTGATTGATTGATAAGGCCATGAATGGAGAAATATAACATTGATTCCTCTTTCTGATTATCCTAGAAAATAAATATCAAAGACCTTCTCAAGGCGTTTAGTTCGTTATGGGCATCTATTCTAGTCTGTACTTGTCCGAATACATGGACATTATCTGTCTTGGAAAAAAGTCCAGATGACTTTGCGATACAGATCGCAGTCTCCAGCTTATCTCCAGTCAACATCCAGATTTTGATCCCTGCATTTCGAAGCAGCTCCAACGATGTCGTCACTTGGTCCTATAAAATGAACCAAGCTCATTACTAATCATTTTTATTTATTTTATTCTTTTTTTTTTCTTTTTTTTGATATATATATATATGTTTTATTAAATCTAATAGTGTTATATGCTAAAGATATACAGTTTTCATCAAACTATAAAGATGATACTGAGAAGAAAAAAAGACATACGTATCCCATATAAATTATCCAGAATTGGAAGACCACTTAAATAAAAATTCAATTGATTAACTAATCAAACAACTGAACATTGTTCTGTCAAATGAACCAGTATCATATAGCTAATATCGGTGTACTTCACAATCACTATATGATTATTAGCCCACTAATCCAGTAATACCTGTAATCTGTCTTCGACACCAGTCAAACAAATTAGCTGCAAATCGGTCTCTAAACGTCTTAACACCGCAGCCATATGCTCACTTCGATCAACCACTGTCATCTTGGCCTGATGATAGTGCTTTTCGAAATCGGCGAGCTGTTCCATCGACAAAACTTTCTTCGCAACTACCAAAGTGCGCAATCCTGTAAAGGATTTATAAACAAATTTATCATTCCATAGAACTTACAAGAATAAACCTTCTCTCGCCATATTGCTGCATTCTTCTTCCAACCAATCGTTATACTGAACCATTCCAGCCATTACCGTATCTGCACCTTTCATCAACAAACTGATCTCATCACTCGTTTCGTCCTAAATATTTAAGTGTAATGATTACCAATAAAACGAAAAAATAAACATCTGCACAATGCTCAAACGATATTTAAGCTTATAACTGTTAGAAGACAATAACGGACCTTGACAATGATTCCCATTCGTTTTGTTTCAGATGTGAATGGAAATAAGTGAAGGATTTGAAAACTTTTTGTTTGACCATTTGAAAGCTGCAGTTGCATTGAAGTTAGATCACGTTGTGCCAGTCGTACACCCACTTGTTCCGTCCACCGAACCAGTGCAACCTGAAATACTTTTCCCTCATACCGATATAGTTTCATGTCTAAGACTGTACTGAACACCGAAAACAGAACCTCATCAGGACTGGCGGCCTGGTAACTAATTTGACCATTTTCTTCTGTTGGCGTTACATTGTGACAAAGTGCGATAGCTTCTACTGCCGTCTGCAACTTACTAGAAAATGAATGACGACCAAGCTTCCCAGAATAAGCTGACAACACATGTCGAGAAACATCCTGAAAAGTCAAAGATAAGTTTGTTCATAATCGATCTTTAGTTCTGTCAAAAAAACACTACCAGAAATACCTCAAAAGCATCGCTGCTAAATGCCACTGTTCCTAGGTGAATCTTCTTGAAGCGCATTTCATTCATTGTTAATGTTCCCGTCTTGTCAGATAACAGGAATGAAATTCGACCCAATTCTTCAGGAATGGTACTACTGCGTACAACGGTATCTATAAATTTGAAACAATAAGAAACCGACTTTATTAAAGTAAAAAAGAAAATAAATAAATGTGATAACCTTTGATGTGACGGTCTCTTCCGATTTGCCATGAATAAAACAGCTTAGCCATATCCAAGTTGACACGCAGTGATATCGGGATTATGTATGAGAATAATAAAATGAATCTCATCAAG